CAGGCTGGCTTCTCTTTTAGAAGAGTTCTTAGCATGTCCAGCATTGAGCAAGAGCATGTAGATGTCACTGGCCCTAAAGGTTCTAGTCAAAACAGTCACTCCAAGTCCCTCATGGCTGTCTACTGAGAGAACAGACTTTGCTCCTCATGAGTCTCTATAGTACATGAAGCCCTAATCACATAGAAACTTTGAGAAGACACCTACGATCTGGGGCAGGGTTGGGGGGCAAAAGACTACATTTTCCTGAGTATCTTGAATCTCCTCCTCTTGCAGCATCTTTTCTAAGTCCTACTCTCTTCAGTTAAGAAGTTCTACTTGGTCCTGAGTAAGCATAGTCATTACGAAAGAAATGCTACTTTCTCAAGAATACTTCAGAGTCCCATTTTTTTTCTGCCCTCTGAGAACCAACAGAATACTCTGAACTTGCTGTTTGTATTCTCTGAAGATCTACTGTTCTCTGAAGTTTTGCATGGTAGCAAGAACAAGCAACAGTCCCTCAGTGTTCACTTCAACAGGAGGAAGGGAGGGACCTGGGGGAATCTGTCAGGTCCAAAGGAAACTCCATTTCCCTTAATTCTGGCAGTTAGACAAAAGCCAGCTTTCCTCAGAAACTTGTGAAGCTGGTTCCCCTCTACCAAAAGGAGTCATTTCCCTTATCACTGGCAGGAGGGATAAATGGCTATCTATGGTGCTTATTAGCTTACCAAAGCACATGCTGGCCTCCAGTATACCTCAGTATCACAAAAAGACCTGTTACACATTTCAGAGCCCATGCTAGCATCCTGGCTCCTGTCACCTCCTCCCTCCTGTAAACTTCTCTAGATCATGGACTTCCTTCTCTCTAGCTACTCATTCTCCTTATAACCTGTTTTCTTGGTTATCTTCTTCTCTTACTCCCCCCCACCCCACCCCCACACACATACACACAGACCTCTGTCTCCCTGTCTCTTTCTGCTCTGCTCCTGTTTCTCTCCTGGACACTATTGGTCTGGCCGTGTTCAGTCTACCACTTTCTCTCTGTGTTCTAGACTTTCAGAAGCCTCCTCTTATCTACAATGCCCCTCATATCCACAATGAAAACCTTCCCCTAACCACACCTTTGAGTGGTTGTGGCATCTGTTCATACAGAACCCAGGGAGGGAGCAGTTTCTGGCCCTGTAGCAGGCAACCAGCTTAAGGGCTGGAGCTACAATAGAGAACTGCTAGGAGGGTTTTGGCTGGGGGAGCATCCTAGTTATCCTGGCAATGCAGAGTAAGGGCTACTCATAGGGCTAAGTCAAGCAGTTCTGGGAGCGGGTGAGTGAGGACAACTGCAGATCCAAGAGTTCAGGTTGGGTTAGGGCAGTGCCACAGAATCCCCTGCTGGGTCTGGCCAGCATTTGGGAGGAAGAGAATGAAACTGGAAGACAAAAGCCTTATCCCGACTTTTCTGGTATAACATGTACTACTACTACTACTACTACTACTATTTTGGTTTTTGGAGACAGGGTTTCTCTGTGGCTTTGGAGGCCGTCCTGGAACTACCTCTTGTAGACCAGGCTGGTCTCGAACTCACAGAGATCCACCTGCCTCTGCCTCCCTAGTGCTGCATTAAAGGCACCACCAACGCCCGGCTTATGTACTATTATTTTTAAAGATTTTTTGTCATTTTTAAAGTGTGTGTGTGGTAAGTGCAGGTGCTCATGGAGGCCAGAGGCTGCAGATCCTGACAGGCGGTTGTGAGCCATCCAATCTGAATGCTGGGAACCTAACTGGGGTGCTTTTAACCACTAGCTGTCTTTCCAGTGCACCCACACTATTCTGAACTAGAGAACTTTATATATTATATTTACTAGGTGCTGCAGGAATAAGATAAAAATAAGGCAGCCCTGTTATATGGACACTGGTGGATACACCCCAACAATGGGTAGCTTACTTTTAGGGAATCCCAGTGCTGAAGACCGCCTTCAGCTAAGATCTTCAGCTTGCTCAGGCCCATCCCTCCACCATGGTCTGTGAGGTAGTTGGTCTCCCCAGGCAGAGGGCTGTAACAGTGACACCATGCTCTTAGTCTGTTAATCATTCCATCTGTCTTTTCGCTTTATAGATAGGTAAACTGAGGACCCAAGAGAAGCAAGAGCAGCCTGGGCCACATGGTCCTTTTTTATTATTCATTCATTGACTACATGTATACAGAATTTTGACTGCCCATCACTGGGGGAGATGTGTTTTCTTTCTGTCTTCAATCACAGATCTTTCTGTGTTTGAAAACTTTCCGGAGCTTTGACACCTCCCAACTCTGTTGCCCACTTTGTACCTGGACATGAATGTGAAGTTCATGGGTTTACTGCTTCCCACTGTGTTTGAAAATCAGTCATCACAGAGTTCTGGCCTTGGCCGCCCACGGTGTTTGGCTCTCCAGGAACAGCCCCCTCTCCATCCTCTGCAGACACCAGGTCGCCAGGTCTCAGGCCCTGACAAAAGGAGCTTCCTGGTGCCTGGTGTGCTAGAAGCCTGAGGTGGTGTTAGTTGGGGACACAGCCAGCTACTTGTTTGCTAGATCCCACTTTGGAAATAGCCTCGTTCCACTCCGGCCGAGGACTTTAAGTCCCACACAGAGCACCGGCCCCTCCCGCTGTCCTGGGTCAGTACTAGTACTGACCATGCAGTTGCTTCCACGGGCCTTTGGGCTCAGTCAAGGCTCACAGAACCATACCATCCAGGGACCAGGCCCAGAGCTGCCCGCTCTGCCTGGCAAGGCCAGCCTGGGAGAAGTCGCTTAGGGCAAATGGATGGTCCAGGGAAGGGGAGCCCTTCTGGACAGCAGTGCTGCAGCTTCCTGCGGGTGAACCCAGCCACACACCACAGCTCAGGAGCCATTTAGAAGCCCAAATTGGGGTGCACATGCCCCAAGTGCTGTCCCCCCAGTGACTTGGGGGCTGCAGTTGGTAGGAGCTGGGAGGGGAGCAGCTCGGGCCTGGCTATCACTCTTCCCCTTAATCCCAGCACTCAGAAGGCAAGGCAGGAAAGGATCTCTGAGCTTTTAGGCCAGACTTGTTCCTATAGCAAATCCCAGGCCAGACAGGTCACTTAAGACTGTGTCTTAGTGGTGCTGGGCGGTGGTGGCGCACGCCTTTAATCCCAGCACTTGGGAGGCAGAGGCAGAGGCAGGGATTTCTATGAGTTCAAGAACAGCCTGGTCCACAAGAGAGCTAGTTCCAGGACAGCCTCCAAAGCCATAGAGAAACCCTGTCACCCTGTCTCGCGACTGTGTCATAAATAATAATACAATTAAATAAATAAACCTGTTTGAATCTGTGATCTGTGGCTGTATGATGCCAGAAACACAACCACACCGCATGAAGAAAGCACGTGCGATTCTCTCACAAGAGCATTTGGTAAGGCACAGTGGAAGTGGGATTGGCGTCCAGCATTTGAAAGAACAACTTCCCCTGTAATAGACAGGCTCTTCTTACTGTGCAAGCCAGTGACAAGACAGACCCGCTTCTGTGGGAATCTCTACATGGTAGCAGTCCAGCAGGGAACACAACTAACTATCTGAGGAACACTCTTGCCCTCTGGTGGTTGTAACTAACTTTAAAAAAACAAATGAAGGGTAGGTAATAGAGGAAAGAGAGCCCCACCCCACTGCGTGCTGCCACAGTGGTGAGCCTAGCAGGCTAGAGCATCAGGAGGGTCCCCAACATCTGTCTGAGCTCCACAACAGCCCAAGTGTGGGCACCCGGGTGCTAAGGCAACCAGACCTCACTGCCACCCACAGCTCACCCTTTGTTGTCCACCCTCTCCATCCTTGGAGGGAGGGTAAGTCAAGAGCCCAAGAACCCTTGCGCATGTCCAATGTATGTACACTCTGTGGAACCATTGTCACACCACCACGACATCTACAATCCCTTCACACCCCTCACTAACACACTCTTCCAGCCCTAAACACCCACTAACCCATTTCCAATACTATAATTTGTACTTTGGGAACTTTTTATTGCTGGAACCGCATCTCATTTTGAGGAAACCTGGTTTCTTTTACTCACACAATTAAGTATCACTCTCCAATGCCTTTCATTGATATGCCACTGATCTGTGCATGGACATGTCACAGTGTCCTAAGGCCAGGGGTGGTGAGTCCATTTACTTGGCACATCTTCAGACTTTGATTTCACTGACATGTAGGGTTCCTAAGTCCATTTCCCTAAGACATGTAGTCTTAGGAAGGCAGGGGAGTGATGGTTGCTGCAGGCTGTGCTGACAAGCCAGGCTTCAAACTCCAAGGAACTAGTCACAGGGGCCCCCACACCTGAGTTTTACCTCCAGCTCTAGGGAAAGGCATCTTTTGAAATACAGTGTTCTTAGTCACAAGGCCTAGCTCTCAAGAAAAACTTTTATTTCTCTTTTCATTTTATTACCAAGTTACTGGGAAAGAATTAAATGTCAAAACAATTTTTACTGAAAGAAACAGTTTTTACCCAATGTCAATATGGTTATCAGTGGTTTGGAAAAATGACATTTTTAAAAAGATGAGCATATTAGGTATAAGGAAATAATATACTAGACAAATAGAAGAGAGGTCATTGCTTTTTCAGGGCAATAATAAAATAATAATAAATTGCAAAAATAATTCGAAAGGTCTGAGGACACAGCTCAACAGTGCAGTACAAGCAAGGGTCTGCTTTTAAGTTCCAACACCATCAGTCCCAACCATTTTCTTGTGGACTCTATTTAGAAGAAAAAAATTTAGACTTTCCCAATGAACCTAATTTAAAGATTTTTTTATAATAATTATATAAAATTGATATTGGCAGATATTGATTCTGTTACATCACAACTACTTTATAGTTCAATGACCTAAAAACACCAATTAAAGGCAAGTCAGGCAAGAATCAGAGGGGGGGAGAAACCCAGTAACTAGGACCCAATTGTAACTGTTGAATCCCATAGGAAATTTATATGGAGAATATAGAATACACAAAGAACAATTACAGCTCATAATAAAAAAAAATCACAAATAACCATTTTTTTTTTTTAATGAGCAAAGGATCTGAATGGATATTTCACCCAAAACACACATGAATGCCTACTAAGCCCATGAGGTCACTCAATATCGAGTGAAGGTGGCAGAGGTGCCACTTGAGACACACAGCAGAATAACTATTGTTTAGAGACCCACAAGCACAGCTGAGGGGGAGGAGAAAGCCTGCTCCAACAGCAATGGGACATAAATGGTGCGTGCAGCTGCCAGGGAAAACGGCTAGTGTCTAGTGTAGTCAGGTCACTCCACTTCTCTGTAAAATGAAATTGGAAACATCCATTTTTGGATGACTCAGCAATATGTATTACGTATAATTATCACAGCAATGATTACTGTGTATGTCACTACTGACTGGATCTATTAGCTGGTTCCCATTTCACTTACACTTACCAGTTTAAGTCAATGAATTGCTCCTGATATTTGCGTGTAACATTCCCATCACATCTACTGCTATATACCATGTGCTCAATAAATTCAATCTGTAATTATTTATTTAAAAACAAAGAAGGTTGGACTTTCCTTTAAAAAAGGGAGTGGGGGCTATACATCAATGTGTGGGGTAAGTCTCTTCCAGGTGCCAGACAGCACCAGGCACTGCTGGACCGGGCTGGAGACCTTCAGGTGGCAGATCTCTTTAAATCAGACCACACCGAGCGCTTCATTCCCTGCATGGCCTTTACTTCTTGCCAGTCCAGTTTAATGTCAGGGACCTCAGGCTCAGGCTCTGGTTCCTTACTTAAGGCCCCCCGTGGGGAGGCGACCACAATAGGCAGAGGGCCACATTCTTCCCGGAACTCCACCACATGGAGACCCTTCTTATCGGCTAGATGTTGGTGGGTTTCCTGGAAAAGGGCAAATGGAGAACAATAGGTCTGTGATGGACATTTGTGACTTAAAGGATCAGGGCTTCTGTCAACCAGAGGGAAGCCAGCATTGAGAACCCTCAACAGCTTGGGGAAGTGAAGTAGCTATTTCACTACTACTGGCTAGACTGGGATGATGTGCCCACATGGATTTAACTCAGCCCACACGCCACCACAGCCAACTCAGACGGAGGACGACCTGTCCGACAAGGACAAGGCTACTAGAAGTATCTTGAAGTCACAAACCTTTCCCTCTATATGGGGTGGAGGGACTGTGAGCCAGCCCCCACTGGACAGCAACTCAGGGTTCCCACCTCAGGAGACATGCTTCCATGTCTACCTCAGATAGCCAATCCACTGAAGTAATTTTTAAACAAATGCCTCATGGACATCTTAAAGTTTAAACTTCAAGGTTTCAGAAAGTCAGTAATTACACTGTTCTATCATAGAAACATGCTTGGTCTAGCTCCTTCAGTATATGAAATAAGCAGGTCCAGAAGGGCAGTGGTGGTGCACACCTCTAATCCCATCACTCGGGAGGCAGAGAGAGTGAGTTCTGTGAGTTCAAGGCCAGCCTACTTTACATCTACAGCATGAGTCCCAGGACAGGGAGGGCCATACAGAGAAACCCAGTCTCAGGAAAAAAAGAAAAGAAAAAAAAAAAAAAAAAAAAAAGGAAAGGAAAGAAAAAAGAAAGTCTATTTGCTATTTTAATTCTATTTGTTAGACGTGGTGAAGCACTTAGGCCCCTCCACAGGGTTCACACAGACCTGAGTTGCTGGAATTATGCCCATTAATATACAAAGTTCTATATCCAAGGAGGTGAGAGCCCTGGGTTATCTAACTAGACCTGGGCCTGGAATCAATCCCTCTGCTCCACGTGGAGATGTACTAAGGAGGAACCACAACATCGTGGTCTGGAACACAAACCAGTGATTCTGCCTTTCCACCTTGAAGGTTACCTGGTGAGCAAGTCCACGGAAGAGGCCCCGGGTGAGGTTGAGCATGTTCATAGACCCAGTGACCTTGGCATACATATCCTTAATGCCAATGAGGCGGCAGATGGTGATAATGGCCCTGTGGCATCGGAGGCCATAACCTGGAAGAAGATCAAAATTAAACACCAACAACTGTCACTCACTCTGTGGGCTTTCATATGGCACTGGCCTCTGCATTTAGGGAAAAAATGTGTCTAAACCAACACCCTCCCCTCCACCCCTTGCCCCAAAAAAGGCAATGCAAGCCACAAACAGAAGTCATGTAATTTAAATTTTTCTCATAGATGAATTAAAGTTGTTTTAATGCACTTAATGCACAATACATTTTTAGCAATATATTTTGTCAAGCCAACAGGTCCAACTATTACCATTTCAAAATGTAGTTGACTTTACATTCTTTTTTCATAGTAAATGTGTTGTGTTTGATTTGAATGGTCTCAACAGCCACAGGTCAACTGCACAATCACCTACTGGCTGGCAGCCATTCTGTGGAACAAAGTAGGTCTGATCCTTGTCAGGTCTAAGCAGGCATCGAGTGACTGACTGAGTTGAGGAGCAGAAGACAAGTTCCAATGCATTAACACATTGGCATGCACATTTTGTTTGGTTTGCGGCTTGGGGGGGGGGGTGATGTTGTTTCACCCCACAGCTTCAGCAGAACTGTAGTAGAAGCTTTGATATAAGGTTTTAAATATTTTAACATCTCAGCCTCAAACTTTTAGAGATTTCGGTAACAAGGGTCATAGGAGACCATTTTTCACTGTAGAATTACAGGTGAGATGCAAGAGAGAATGTGTCAGAATCTACACCCACAGACCAGGGGAATGACTATCACAGCCCTAAGGAAAACTCTGCCTGCTTCTCTGAGAGGCAGGAAGAGCATTCTTCTGCACACCCAGTGCTTCAATAGGGAGACCTTACAGAAGATGGGCACTCAATGTGGAGTGTGGCTGGAGACATACTGTAGTAATTGTACTGGCTAGTTTCTCGTCAAGATGACACAAGCTAGAGTTATCAGATGGGAGGGAACCTCAGTTGAAAAATGCTCCGTAAGATCAAGAAAGCTGAAGAAAAAAGAGCAGAGGACCCAGCTGCTGCAGTTTCTCTGCTTTATCTTTTAATAAACAGTAAGAGCTAATTACCTCTGGGTTGTTTCTTCATCCTGATCTGCGTCCTCTTAAATCTTAATGAAATATCATGGTATACTGGAGGCAAAAACACAAACACAAGAAGGGTTGGGTGAGAGGCCTGAACAGCTCTGCAACATCACAAGGCAACAAACACATCCTGCCCTGAACAGCAGCGCACAGTGGCCAAGGATGGACACGTGCTGGGCTCTGGGTCAGATCTATTTCCACATTTCATACATTTGTTAAGAATAGAGTAACAAAAATACAACAAAATCTTGCCACACATTCTGTAAGATACATTCCTTCAGACTTCAGAAGAAATGCCCCACACTCACTTGTATGGCCTTCATATAGTTCTATATAATGCAAATAATGAATTGCTCTGTTCTTTGCCTGAAAAAAAAAGAAAAAGAAAAATATTTCTTAAATATTTTGTTGTCTAGTTGAGTGAGGTGGTGCATGCCTTTAATCCCAATACTCAAGAGGCAGAATCAGACAGATCTTTGTGAGTTCAAGTCCAGCCTCATTTACATAGTGAGTTCTAGGATAGCCAGGACTATTTAGAGAGACCCTGCTTTTGTTTTTGTTGGCTCAATCTTTGAGTCAGGGTTTTGCTATGTACCCCAGGCTGGCCTCAAATTCAAAATCCTCCCGCCTTAGCCTCCCATGTACTGGGATTACAGAGGTATACCACCATATCTGGCTTCTCATTGGAGTTCAAAAACATCTTTTATAAAATATTTTACTACAAGCAATTCCACCTATACAAAAATTTTAGTATTAAAAAACAAAACCCCCCCAAGGACAGTTTCACTGTTCCACTTATGAACCTTCCTGAATGACTCTGAACAGCCTGTTGGTACACAAAATCTCACAGCAGGCTCATCACTTGACAGCAACCACATCTCTCTAACAGGTACGTGAGAAATGGCTTCTTCCAAGATAAGCAACCTTTGACAGCAAGAAAGTTCTACAACAAATGATAATTTTCTTATGGTTCCCAGGTTGTCTAACACATAGCTCATTATCTTTTACTACATACAAAAAAGAAAGAAAACCACTGGATGTGGTGGCACACATGTCCACTTCTGATACTCTGGAGGCAGAGGCAGGAGGGCCCAGAGCGCCAGTCACAGCAGGACCCTGTCTCAAACAGAGAGATAAAGCACATACCTTCCTTAAAGCATCTGCCCGGTCAGCGGCTTTCCCAACAGCAAAACCTTTCAAAGAAAAAGCAAAGACGTGGAAATGAAAAGTTTTGCATACAACTTGCCTTCCACCCCATCTCCAATGTTGGCGCCGACAGTGTTTCCAAGCCCTTCTTCATCTTCCCACCACCCACAGAAAAGCTGCCCCCATAACCAACAAGCACAGCCACAGGGCTTTGCTAAACTGTCTGCTCTGAACATAAAGTTCAACATTAGATGCACTGCATTGTCTTTAATAAATATTTATTGAAGTGAAGCAAGCTCAGATTACTCACTTATTTTGTTTTTTTTTTTTTTTTTCAAGACAGGGTTTCTCTGTATAGCCATGGCTATTCTGAAACTAGCTCTGTAGACCAGGCTGGGCTCGAAATCACAGGGACCCTCCACCTGCCTCTGCCTCTCTAGTGTTGGTCTGGCTCTGGGTTATTTATTTGTGTGTGTGTGTGTGTGTACTACATGCATGCAGGAATACAAGGAGATGATAAGTGGCTCTGGGTTATTTATTTGTGTGTGTGTGTGTGTGTACTACATGCATGCAGGAATACAAGGAGATGATAAGAGGTCTCAGATCCCCTGGAAATGGAGTTACAAATGGTTGTGAGCTGCCATGAGGACACTGGGAACCTATCCCTAGTCTTCTGAAAGAGCAACAAGTGCTCTTAACTCCAGTCTCTGTACTCATGTTTTAAAATTAAATATGTTCTAAGTTAATAAGCAAATGATTTTGAACATCTTTGGAAACATTAAAGTAAGCAGCAAGTGGATGACACATTGCTCCAGAGTGACAAATGCTTTCAGTGGAACTGTCAAGCAGAATCTAGGGCTAATTTAGCCAGAGATAAGATCAGTAATCCTTCAACCTATGACTACTCTAAATAAGGTTTTTCATAGGTTATGGGAAAACCCCTGGCATCTGCTGCCACTGCCAATCACTGAATTTGAAGATTTACTTAGTAAGTCACACAAAGGGAAGCATCATCCATAAGATATGAGACACAAAAGACACCTAAGACTTGGGCCAAAGAAATGTGAATTCTTTCAGATAAATGAAACAAACTAAACCAGATATCCCAGAAGAAAATATCAGTGGACTTATTGATAATCTTCAAACAGAGACTCATTAAGCAAAGCACAAAATTGGAAGTGATCTAAGTAAGAGTGGCAGATTTGCCATACAAAAGCTTACAAAGTCTCTGGATTTAACACCATGCAGAAGAAAAAATTAAAACACAGTCAAAACATTTAAAAGGCAATGGGCTGATTATGTCTTCAACTTATAAAAAGTTTATGCTAATCAGTTAGGAAAACTATCACCCTATAAAAATTGGGCCAAACACATAAACCAACAAAGCCCAAAGAGAAAATGGCATGGTCAATAAACATGTAAAATTGAGTCCACACTTCCTAATTAAAAATATACAAATCAAATTGACAGCACATACCATGCTGTCAATTACTGAAGCTTGATAGTATAGAGGCAGAGGTATGATGGGAGGGAATCTGGTGGTTCTTACCACAACGTAAAGGGTAGCAACCTCACTGCAAGCAATCTCCCTATAGCTATACCAGCAAAGGTTTAACAAACTATACTTACTGGGGTTTGTTACAGTGTGAAAATTTGGGTCTGTGAACTCAACCACTAAAAGGTTAAACCAGTTAGGGAAGATCAGACCAGCAACATGACTCTCAGGTTTTCAGTAAGGCCAGGCCTAGCCCAACTTGCATCACCACCACCACCACCACCACCACCACCACCACCACCACAACCACCGTGAAATACCACCCCATTCACCTGCAGCTCCATTTCCATTCCCCACAACAACCAGGACACGGACCGACTTCTTTCTTCCCTCTTTTGCTGTCATATTGAAAACATTTCTTACCTAAAAGACAAAATGTCTTATCAATATTACCTTGGGGAATTCTGAAGGGGACCAGCAATGCTGCCTGCCTGTCCAATTATAACCACTTGTGGTGTGTGGGTGCTGCACCTTCCAGTGCTGCAAGACAAACAACAGACTTTATCTGAACAAAGCTCACAAAGCTGCCCCTTGGACCATATCCTCAGTAAGAGAACGCAAGTAAGACTTTCTCTTACTGTTTCACAGATTGAGTGGAAGATTCAACTAAGATTTTTAAAGAAATTTCAAACTTACACATCTCAAAATGGCCTAACTTAATGACTATGCCTCAGGAAAGAAAAACACTTAGGATTAAAATAGAATGGCTCATCAGTGAGTGTAAGAGATAGCCCAGACCAGAGATGTTCACTTATCTACATACAGTGAAACACAGCATATAGAAGCATAGGACTGGACAGCTGGTTAGGCTTAATGGGAAATAAAGCCTGCTTATGGTGAACTACAAAAAAATCTGCAGGTGGCTTGTCTGTTTAGTTTAATCTGGCCCATTTTAAAGACCAAGAACTCTGAAACTGTTAACTACATCACTTACAGAGCAGCTACACCTGTGGCTCATGGTGCTCCTTTACTATAAAGTGGAATTGAAGGAAAAGGGAGATTGCATCTACTCTATGGATAACCATACAGAAAACTATCAACATAACAGAAGTTAGCTTTCAAAATCTACTATCTTGGATAACAACAGAAGTACTAATAGACATTCCCTAAACTGTGCTCTGACTGGCAGAAGACGTTATGTGCACACTCAGGACAGACAGCTCCAGCGCAGGGGACTGCCTCCCAGGCTCCTGAATAGTAAGGTGCAGTGCCAGACCAATGATGGGGACCACTTAGACAATGCTCTGGAAAAGTGGTCAAGTTCATTTGATCAAGGATTCAGTTTCAAGGGCTGGGCTCACTGCCCAGCCTCTTAACAGTGACTCTGGGCCAGGCATTGGTGGCACACACCTTTAATCCCAGCATTCAGGAGGCAGAGGCAGGCAGATCTCTCGGAGTTCCAGGCCAGCCTGGTCTCCAGAGCCAGTGCCAGGATAGGCTCCAAAGCTACACAGAGAAACCCTGTCTCGAAAAACAAAAACAAAAACAAAACAAGACAAAAACACAACAGTGACTCTGTCCCCCTCATTTGTGTCCCTTCAACTGAGTGCTGGATACAGTTAGTTTTTAACTCAGTGATAAATTGCTAACACTTTTTGAGCTTTAGGATGGAGGGATATATACTTAAGCTCCAAGTCTGCTATTAAACAACCACTGAAGTCACCTTGTCAGGAAACTGACTCACCCAGATGCTCAGATCAGCCATGCATCTGAGAGACACCACCACCCAAAGCTTTTCCCCCAAGCCCCTTTAGCCCCAGCCCCACTCCTCACATCCCAACTCCTCAGAGGCAGGGTACCTAATTCCGTGTGCCTACCTCGAGAACCCTGGTATCAAAGTCTTCATATGTTTCTACAAGAAGAAAGAAAAAGCAGAGATAAATGACTCTGTAGTATTAATATAGGGAAGTATTTTGACACCATCACAGATATTTTTCTTTGGTGGTATTAATGAGAACTGAACTCAGGGCCTCATGCTTGTGAGGTAAGCATCCTACCACAGAGCTACACCTTGGCTCCACCACAGACTCTAATGTTAAAAAGTCTCAGGTCCTCAAGGCCACATCCTGGCCCCATCCTCAATAGACTGCTCCAACTCTGGATTCTTAACCTTGGATCACCCTCTGCCAAATCCACAGTGCTCAACCTCATCAGTTCTAAGGGCCCTCATCAGCTCCAGACCTTTGATTACCATTTGCATTAAGACACCAAAGCCATCACTTTCCAAACCCCCAACCTTCTCCCCATACTCCCTTCCCTGAATCAGTGCAGCTCCCTGGCCACAGCTGCGTACTGCCCATAGCTGAACTAAAGTCAAGGTGCAGCACCTAGCCACTCAACACTCATAGCCTCTAGTCTTAACAAAGCCTCCCAGCCATGTGGCGCTCTGACACCTCACTCGCCATACTGTCTTTAACTTTCTAAATAATCTTTTATTTGTTGACAATTTTACATGTGTGTAATGTAGTCTGACCAGAATCAACCTTGTTCTCCTCCCTTTTCCCTGCCTCCTCGCCCCAAGGCCCTTCTTTTCACACATCTCTCTTCTACTTTCATGTCTTTTTTTGTTTTGTTTTGTTTTGTTTTGTTTTTTTCAGTTTAGTTAGAGTTTAGTTAGAGCTATTGCACAAGCTTAACTTATTTTGAAAATTTCTAGCCACTCCTCTTGGCTGTGCTCCCTATGATACAGTTTGGATAACAATGTGGCAAGTTACTCAAAGATGCTCAAACCCTTTTCAGGAAAACGTAAAACCTAACAGGCAAGTAAAAAAAAAAAAAATTCAAAAACCACCCTAGCACTGTCACAAAGGCAAAGGCAAGTAGAATGAGAACGTGGCTACCTCCATTGGGTCCCTGGCTTGGGGGGCCAATACTGACACCTCCCCATGTGCTTCCGCTCCAGCCACGCTCCCGTTTAACTTTAATCTTCCTTTTCCGTTCCCAGTCTTCTCTCTGCTGGATCATGTCAGCCTCCACCTTCTCCTGCTCTTGTTTGCTTCTTTGGCCAATGGTCTGGACTACTCCACTTTTTGTAAGAGGGACATTCAGACCAGGCCACAGGAAACCAGAACGCCCTGAAGATTTTAAAATATTCATAAATAAGAATTTGAAGATTCATTTTTCCAGTATCAAAATGCCAGGCAAGATATGAACAGATAGCCCAGAGCTGGCAGAGCTTAAGTAGAATGATTGTTCAGCATATCACTTTGTGTTACCAAAATTGTAAATGTATACAAGCTAAATCACTGCAATCCATACCACCTAAAGAAAGACTCTCATGTCAGGGCAAGGCACACATGGACCATGCCAAGCATATCCAATGAAATGTTATTGAAAAAGCAAAAAACTTCACAATCAAAATGTTCAGGCCAAATGGCACAGCTGGTGTGTAGGATATTCTACACAAAATCCAAAGAACAAAGTCTCTTTCTAAGGTCTGATGTGGACTGACTTTCAAGACCTACAATTGACCAAAACAATAAGACAGCATATCCTAATTTCCTTTCTGTTATGATAAAAATACTCTGACAAAAGCAACTTAGAGGGTTTTGTTTTAACTCACAGTTCCAGGTTCCCATCCATCACTGTAGAAAAGTCAAGGAGGCAGCTGGTCACATGCAAGTCAAGAGCAGAGCCGAGAAGGAATACATGCACACTTGCGAGTACTCGGCTCACTTTCTCCTTTTTTGTAAGCTCAGGACCCAAACCTCCTGCTCTTAGACTAGGTCTTCCCACACCAACTGATGTAATCAAGACAGTGCCCCACAAACATGCCCACGGGTCAACTTGACCTAGACAACCCTTATGGGGACTCTTCCCAGGAGACTACAGAGTACATCAAGGTGCCAATTAACTCACTATCGCACAGCACATAACATACAGCATAACTAAATTATCTCTAGAAAGGCATTTATATAAAAGCATTAAAAATATTAAAGGAAACTTAATGGGACTATAGGCAACTGAAAGGGGATGCTCAATGTTCTCTACAATAGTTGCTTTTTTTTTTTTTCAAGCTGACAAGATATACATGTGATTTTGTAATACTAAAAAACAAAGATCAGCACATTAGCTGGGAGTTCTGGTACATGCCTCTAATCCTAGTTCCAGGGAGGCTAAGACAGGAGGATCATGAGTTCAAGGCCAGCCTGGGATACACAAAACAGGAGATTAGAGGCTTTAAATATGTTTACCTTCACCAATGATCTGTCCCTTGTTCAAATCCTTTTTCTTCCTCCTCTTTGTTCTTTTGCCTCTGCCTTTCCTTGCTCCAGCACCAGTCTCTGCTAAGGCACCCTTCCAGAGTTCTTCTGCAGTCACTGCAATGAAACAGGGATGCTGTTTTAAATTCTGTTTGATGAACTATGGTCTCCTGTTGAATAAAAGAGGCCAGAAGAACCCACTTCGAGTACACCCCTGCAGTGACATTAGAAGCACAACAAAGCCATTCTTTGAGTACCACACAGTTACATCTGGAAAGCCCACGAGGAGACTATGCTATTACTTCTCACAAAGACAGCGGCCACTTGGGCCCCTTACAGGCAGGCTTGTTTGCCTGATGCTTCATCAGCTATGACTTGGGTTGCTTCCCTGTTCTCTTGCTTCCACAATAATCCCTGAAGTAATCAATAACTACCCTTCTTCCTGGTTTCATCTCCATTGCTATGATAAACCACTCAGACCAAGAGCAGCTTAGGAGAGGGGCACCGTTGTGCAGCTCACAGTCCACTGAGGAAGTCAGGCAGGGACTTAAGAAACTGAAGCAGAAACCATCAAGGAACACTGCTGGCTGGCTCAGAGGCAAACTTATGTTCAGTTTGCTTTTTGACATAAGTCCAAGACCACCTACTTAGGGCTGGTGCCTCCCAGTGGGCTGGGCCCTCCTACATCAATTAACAATCAAGACAGTCCCCAAGGATATGTCCACAGGCCAATCTGACTTTGAGGCTTTCCTCCCAGATGACTCTGGCTGTTCCAAATTGACAAGCAAAGCTAACTAGGACACTTTCTTATACACAAGAACCTACATCCCATTTAGTCTGTTTGCTCTGTTCTTCTGCCAGTACCCAACAACCATTTCTTTCAAAACTACATACAAAAGTGTTTCATAGCTAATCCCCATATCTGTGTTTGTACTTGACTATTTTAAGTCACATAAGTCTTTTAATGTATACACACTCTAGCACTGCTGATTTGTTTCTATTTGTCAATTACTATGGTCCCAACATCTGTTTCTATCCTACATCTCAATCAATACTTGTACTTGTAAATGCCTAAATTCATTAGGTTGATCCTTATTGCATTTTATTGGTATTTAAATTTCATCTTTCCAAGTTCACCAACTATTTTATAACTAGGTTTTAGTCCAATAAGAACTTATATAATAAAAAATTGAAGCCAGGGCTGGGAAGATGGCTTAGTAGGTAAAGTGCTTGCCTTGCAAGTACAAAGACAGTAATGTGACCCCCAGAACCCACATAAAAACAGCCAGGCACAGTGGCACATGCTTGCAATCCGCTCAGTACTAGAGAGAGGTCAAGACCCCTGGGGCTTACCAGCCAGCCTAGCCTCCTAGGTGAGCTCCAGTGACATTATCGAAAATAGGAGTAGTATTTATAAAATAATGTTATTAAAAATTGCCTTTCTAGCCAGGCGTTGGTGGTGCATGCCTTTAATCCCAGCACTCAGGAGGCAGAGGCAGGCGGATCTCTGTGAGTTCGAGGCCAGCCTGGTCTCCAGAGCTAGTGCCACAAAGCTACACAGAGAAACCCTGTCTCAAAAAAAAAAATTACCTTTCCCTGATTGGTTTATCTCCTCAGCTACAGGCACAAATAAAAGGAGCCAATGGTTTGGTTTGGTTTTTTGTTTTGAGACAAAAAGTTTGGTCATTTACTTGTTACTCTTAAAAAGGTATTTTGACTGGACTCAGAGGTAGAAGTTCTCAGGGAAGACAGCCTACATCTCTTGGCAGTCTGTTCGGGGCATTTTTCTTTGGCTCCCTTCATTCTCTTGGCCAAAAGTTTAGCATATTTTTCAGCCTCCTCCTCATTTTTCCTAGTGTTGTTTCTTCAGTGTTAGAGGATGCATGGAGCAAGAAGACGCTGAACCTTGGGTGCTTTGGTCCTGGGCTTCTCGCCATCTTTGTTTAAGGCTTTCTAACAACATATTGGGGATTTATTTGGAGAGACTGAAAACCCTGATTTCCTGTGAACTCTCCTGAGTTCCAGCTGCCAAGGCACAAGAGTCTGTCAGTCTAGCAATATCCTTCTCTCCTTTTTTAACAATAACCAAGTTGAAATCACTCAGATCGGCACCCACAATGCATCCTTGAATACACTTGTGCTTCCCCGTCTCCAGTTCTCCTTGGTCTATAACAAGAATGCCCCTGACTCACAACCCACTGCACTCTGCAGTGGGTCAAGACATCCTTCATGAGAAAACCTTCTTTGCCATTCCCACCACTGATGTGGACCACATAGCCCTTTCACTCTTCACCAGAGCATCAGCAGCTACTTCTGTGGCTGTGGCTTCTCATAGAAAGCACAAAGATGGAGTTTATCATCCACGAAAGTGAGGTCAGACAGCCATTGGTTGGGAAGCAGACAGTCAGCTTCATCTTGACACAGTCGACCGCCTAAGGAGGCGCCACAAAAAAAGAGCACCAATGTATTCTTGGCGTGGCTCTAAATCAGCAGGTATTTGACTATGATCCAATACTTTTTCCGACCTCAGGTGCCCCAAATGAAGGAACTTACATCTGCTAGACAAATGTTCTACTGCTGAGCTACATCCCAACCTTTTAAGGCAAATTTGTTATCAATTGTACAACTGATGCCATGTAGCTAATTCTAGTGGGCATATCAAGGAATGCTTTTATTTTAACAGGTCATTATAAACTAGTCACTAACACATTTATTTAAGAAAGAAGGAAATGAAGGCACAAACATCTTCTAGTTTCTGGTTCCATTTATCATTCTACATACGTTTGGTGAAGAAGCTGTAAGGCCTGTTCTGCTGGCCCATGCAGTTGACGGGAGAGGCAATGCAGCACTGTGTCTGCAACGCATGGCTCAAGCTGCTCAGACAGTGGTTGGTTTTTGTTCCCCTTGGTGACAAAGAGCCTACAGGCAGATAGAACCAAAGTTGGTGTTAGACCCCATGGCTATAGAGAAACACTGCCAGCACCAAATACTCACACTAATAAAAATAAGTCACTATGGCTGTTGAGACACTTGCTGCCAAGCCTGACAACCTGAATTTCACCCCAGGGACACAAGTGGTAGGAGAAAAGAGACAACTCCTACAAATTGTCCCCTGACTTCTACACACACAGTAGAATGAGAGTGTCCAAACACACACACACACACACACACACACACACACACACACACACAGTCACTAAAATTTTGAGAATTGTGTTTTGGGGCTGGAGAGATGGCTTAGCAGTCAGGAGCATGTGCTGCTCTCAAAAAGAGCACAGGTTTGGTTCCCAGCACCCATTTCACAAGTCTCACAACCTATAACTCTTCCTCCAGGGGAGCCTATGCTTCTGGCCTCCTTAGGCATCTACACTCATGTCCATACCCCCCACCAAGACACACAGACATAACTAAAAGAAATGTATTAAAAAAAAATTTGAGACATCTTTGAAACAAAATACCCTAAATGTCCATGCTAGTTAGAGAAGCTGCAGCTCCTCCGCATAATGGATGTGGCATTTCTGTGCAGTATCCAGGAGTGCAGAGCCTACTGTGGGAAAACAGTGCCCCCTGCCGTAGGCAGCCAGGGAATGTGCAATGATCTGCAAATGTCCCACAGAGCAAAATGCCAGCGCGTACAGAGTATCTGCTTCATGTTTGAAAACAATGCAATGCAGGTGTGTCTGTGAATGTATCTTACACACTCCAGAGGCACACACAAGAAACAGAAGCTATAGTTGCCTCTGGGGAAGAAAGCTGAAGTATGTAAAACTAGACAAGAAAGCTTCAGCAGCACCCCTAGACAGCCACCCTCACCCCAAACCACCACAACAGAACTACTGGATAGTAAATAAATCTTGGGAGAACAGAGGCATACTAGAATCTTACCGTAGCTGAGAGTTGTCTTTGCTGCCAAAAATGAAGCTGCTGCTGGAAAGGCCTTTAGAGGGAGCTGCCTAGACAGGAAATGACCTGGAAATTGGGGGGAAAGGAACCCTTTAAACAGTAATGCCTATAAAATATTAACACTTACAGAATCAAAGGATGAGGACAAAAAGCAAGTCATCTCTGAGATTCAAGGCCACTTGCCAAGTAGCTGACATGGCACCTCATCTTTACCTTTCACCCTCAAATCCACCCAGTTTTCAAGCCTTGTGAAATCTCCTTGGGTGTCAAGCCATCTGTCACCTGCCCTGTGCTGTCCTTCATTCCTAAGAGCCACAGGTTAACCCGTCTCCTACCAGGTTTCTCAAATTCCCTCTCTAACTCAGCATCTTCCCAGGATCCAGGCACTCACAGCCCTGACAGTCTTCCTTCACTCCCTCCTATTCTAAAGATCAAAGGAAAACTCCTCAGCACAAGCTGGAGCATTGGCTTGTGCTTATGATGCCAGGATTCAATAAAGAGGAGGCTCTAGAAGTCAAGACTAGCTTAGGCTACATATATGAGACTCTGTCAAAACAATCCCCGAGCACATTCTGCATGTTGGCCACACGGCCCAAGCTTCCACCCCAGTCTCATGCTGCCCCTCCCTCTTTCCTACATCCTCCCTCTAGCCTCACCAGATCTGAATTAGTTCTGAACTGACCCTGCTCTGGCAGACTTATTTCTCCAGGTTCACTGGTACATAGTACACCATAACTTCCTCAGAATAGAAATATTCCCCTCAAGAAAGAGGGCGAGGCCCTGCACTGTCTGGTGCCCACCAACCTTTCACTTAGTGTGGTGTTCTAGAATAGATTCTGATAGCATTGGTAAGAAAACTGACATATGGAGACATCTGGATAGTAACACTCAAATGAAGTTGAAGGCCTACCTCATATTATATGTAGAAACTAACCTCCAAATTGGCCAAAGGGTTAAAGGTAATAGTCAAAACTAGAAATCTTAAAAGAAAACATAGGGGGTAAATGATCACAACCTTGGGTTTGTAATTATTTCTTAGACATAACACCCAAAGCACACACTACCAAGAGGGGGAAAGGAAAAAAAAAAAAAAACTCAGATAAATGAGACCATCAAATTTTCAAATTGGTGAGTTGTTTTTCAAGACTAAAAACAACTCAGTAGTAGACATCTGTCTAGCAGGCACTAGGCCCTGAGTTTTCAAAATCAAAAACTTATGTTTCAAAGAACACTATCTACATCAGGTGTTTGTGTCTGAACACCTGAATTATAGGTTTGAACAAACCTATGATTCCAGCATTTCAAAAGCTGAGGCAGGCGAACACTGAATTTGAGGCTAGACCACACTCACAGTGAGATCCTGGGGGGGGGGGGCTTAAAAATCAACATGCAAAATGATATTTAAAAAAAAAAATGTTTCTTAGCCAGGTGGTGGTGGCACATGCCTAGCATGCCTAGCAGGTATGTCTACCTTTGGGATCTAAGCATGACATAGACCCCTGATCTACAAAGTTTCTGGTCAAGAAACACACAACCAAGTCACACACACACACAATCAGAGAATGTTTTAAAGACATTTACAGTTTTCTACTGGAAACTCACAGCCACCCTCAGGGCACAGGCTGGACATGCCTGTACCTAGGTTCAATCCTCGGTGTACACGCATGTGCGAGTGCACACAAACACATACACATATAAAAGATTTGAACAAACATTTCTTCAAGAACATATACAAATAATTCAAAAGCACATGAAAACAACCTCATGAGAAATCAAAGTCACAAAATTAGTACACTGTACACCATTAGCTTGGCTATCTGAATAGAACAGATAATTACAAGTGTTGGCAAAGAGAAACTGGAACCCCTACATTGTGGTGGGGCTGTAAAATGGTACAGGTACTTGGCAGTTCCTTAGTTAAACATGGAGCTATCACTTCAACTAGCAATTCCACTTCCCGGAAATATACACAAGACAGGATGGACATGGGCAAAGACAAAAACACAGCTCTCAGATAGTTAAACATTAGTCCTGACAACCAAAGATGGAAACAGCTCAAATGGTCATCAGTCAACGAATGGATAAACAAAATGTGGTGTACTAACACATGAGTATTACTTTGTCACAAACAATATGGCACCAGTATGTCACCGCATGGCTAAATCCTGACAACACTGCATTTATGGAAGAGTACAATCACAGAGACCAGTTATCTTTTTATTCTATTTATAAACAGAGTCGAGAACAGGCAAGCTATAGACAGATGGGGAATAGATCAATAGTTGCCTAGTGAGTGATTGAAGGGGACAGACACAACAGTTAAAAAGTAGTTTTCCTTTTAAAAAAATCACTTAAGTGTACAATTCAGATGGGTAATTATGGTACTAATTTATGTCAATAAAGCTGCTACCCCAAAGAGAGGGGAGTTACACAAAGTGTGTGTGGGGGTTGCTTGGAGCAAGGCATCGTGGGTGCAAAATTTTAAATCTTAAGCTGTGAACACGTTCCTCACGTCTGTGTGTTGCAATTCCCTCATCTATAAAACAAGAATAACCAGGCGGAGTCTGAGAGTAAACAACTAACCCCAGCATTTAGAAGCTGAGATATGAGGCTTATAAATTGGGAGACTACAGTGAGACTTTGTCTCAAAAACAAACAAGGTGGACGAGGGTGCTGGTGCTACGAGAATACCACAGAATCATAAAAGCACTGAGAGGAGGAAATGGAGGCATAAAATCAAATGAATTGCTTAAGTTTGTTTTTGGCACACGGAAGGCTACAACCCACTATTAGACAGAGGTCTTAAGGAGATAGTTTCAACACTGGCAAAACAAGCGAAGGCTCACAAGACATAGTCCACCAAGTGATTTCAGGTCAAATATTGCAACAAAATTAACTTTCAGGACCTGGACCGTGGGCATTCCTACAACCCAACTGGGAAGGGCTGGAGAAAAACGGTGACAGCCAAAGTACATCCCGGCAAGCGGATCCGCCCACGCTAAACTGACAGCTAGTAAATCTAATGGACTCAGCAAGAGGGCGATCCTTTAGTTTTGAGCGTCTCTGGGAGCACTCAGCCTCGAAGCCGAGGTTGACATCACCCTATGAACAATAGGTGATGCTTGCCGGAGCGGTTTTCCTGACTGAAAGCACAGAGTCAAGGTCGCTTCCTAGGATCTCAAGCCGCGCGACCCAGAGAAGGAGAGAAGGCGCGCAAGGTCACACAGCCTGCCGGACCCGAGTGGGAGACCGGGACCAGGGGCCCGGCCACGACACGAGTCCCTCGACCCGGAATTTCGCAGGCCCGAGGGAAAGCACCATGCTCTCGCAGGCTTACAGTCCGGGTCCCAGCACTTACCAGCCGGCACGCCACACAGTGCAGGCAGACAGCACGCAGAGCGCACGGCGGCCGCCATGGTGGGGCCCGAGCTGCGACCCGCCTGGCGCTGGGACCGCCTTCCCCACCGCCTGACGCGATGGCTAAGAACGCGGCTCGTCAGACTTCCGTCATCAGCGCGAAGCGGTGTCCTGACACTCGAGGGCCACTTCTCAGCGCACACGGGGGTCGAGAAATTGTCCACATGGATCACAAAGGAAACTGAGTCAGGCTCAGCCACGGTCAGCTTCTCAGGGGTCCTCGCACTAGGACCCCAGGCAGCGGCGGGGGAGAGGGCGGGGCTAGCTCCGGTTCCTGTCGCAGGTAATAACGAAATCTGTCACATCCAAGCATTGGTTGGCTTGTCCTGGGAAACCGCATTCGGCAGAGCCAGTACACAGTCTGGGAATTTCGAGAGTGAACGACAAACGTTAGGGAGTTTGTACCTAACTCCAGTAACGGCCCAAAGTTGATTGAACATTACGTTGCCTTTGATTTCAGATGCACTCGTGTATTCATGGTAGAGGTTGTTCACACACGCAAGTCCAACCCTAGGTTTTTACCTCACTTTGTCATGGCTCTACCCTATCCCTGCTTGCCCAAATGAGTCACGTGATGGTCCTGGACTCCTCTGAAAAGGTAAGCCTCCAATAAACTACTTCTAATATGTCCTGGTCATGGTGTTTTGCAAAGAAATAGAAAGTAACACCAGGTTTTCTTCATTTTTCAGCGTATCCTTTAAGGCTCCTACCTTTCCTGAGGGAAATGGTGGTCAGACAAGTTATATTTGCAACCTAATGACTTGGTCGTGATTTGCAACACCAGGAGATTCTGGGAGAGTCAAAAATGGGGGACAATTGCTTGTGAGAGTGCCCTGGCTTCTTCTCAAGGCTTTTCAGCGTGGAGTGGAGAGGCTTCAGTTCACTCAGTGAGGGTATCCATGAAGACCAATGGACAGTTGAAGACTTGGCAGGTGGGGATCTCAGTGAACAACATCCTCCAGATCTGTCTTAAGGAAGTGACCATGTCTGTGGGTGGCTACAAAAAGATTTTCTGAAGCACATACCATGCAGCCCCCAGGAACTCAGGAATGATTGAATAAGTCCCTTTCCTAAGAATAGGTGATTGTGTGTTTCTCTTCACCTTGTCTGACCAAAAAATCATGGGACTACTTTACAAGCTTCCATTGGATACTTGTAGAATATAACTGAGGATTTCTGTATGCATCCATCCTTCAGGGTTACAAAGGGAGTCTTTCACAGTTGCCTTCTGCAGTGCCTTAGGGGCACACTGAGGCTTACAAGGACTCCATCAGACAGACAGAGAAGAAAGGGGTCAACAAAAATTAGGCAGCAGGACTGTGACCTTGGCAGTCTAGTGACCTAATCTATTCCCTTCACTGACAGGTGAGCCATCCCTTTGGTGTCCCCTGTAGCAGATATGGTAACACTAGAGAGTTTTTGAATGACACCCATGAGAGGCAAAACCTGTGGTCAATATTTGATGGAACTGCTCTTGGAGTTCAGTAAACTTCTTTCCTTGCAGACAGCAGCATGAGCATGTAACACAAAGAAGGTATGTATTTACTCAATAGAAGGATTAGCTACTTTGCCAAGGATATGTTCTACTTAATAAAGACTGGTATTGGAGGAGTCTACTTGATAGCCAAAGAAAGCAAGTTTTTAGGTAGGGAGGGGGTTTACAGATAGTGGTGGGAGATCAAAGAGTCACTGTCAGTCCCTGGAGGTACTGGGGTCATCTCGGGTTTCAGAGTTAAGTCGTTCACATAGGTATGCTGCAGACCACATGTGACCATCCAATGGCCAAATGAGGACTGTTACTGATCCTGCCTTTTAGTAATGTGCAGTTTAATGAGCCTATCCCTCTTGGGAAGCCCCAGACCTGAGCCTTTCTTAAGCCTTTCAAAAGATTGTTCCTCAGTCCCTTGATTAGAAGAGGTTTGGATTACGGACCTTCATTTAGTTTCTCACAGACTGGCCTGGCTATTTCTTTAAATGCTGCAATCCATATTCTGCAGTACCCTGTTAGTTCCGGAAAAGACCGAACATGTCTCTTATTTTAGAGAGGAAGTAAGTACAGATATCCTGGGGTCCAATGAAGATTCAGTAATTGGGGTTTTTTTTTGTTTGTTTGTTTTTGTTTTTGTCTCACAACTTGAGTCCCTAGAGACTTTGCATCCTTTTTGAGCTACAAAGTTTTACAGTCTGTACACCCTGTTTTTTGGCTGGTGTCTGAAGCAGTAGAAGGAGGTCATCCTCACACAGGATTCTGGTTACAGAGTTGAGTGTAAATTCTCAAGGTGCCACCCAATCCAAAATAGACAGGTACGTTTCTGGGCTCATGCATCTGGGATAGTCCACTGAAAGGTGACTAAGACTGGGAGCTCCGGCTTTCAGAAAAGACTGGCACGCTGGCAAACCAGAAACCGGATGTGTGCTGTCTTAGGGCCCTCCTCCCAGCTGCACTGTTCAGATCCATCTTCATAGGAGAGCTGGCCTCTAGGTTTACCATGGTCTCACCTGCTTCAGCACACGATTCTGGAGCACCAACTTGTGCAACTTAGTGTGTTTTTTTACACGTCATCTTAAGGCGCGGCTGCTGTGGAGACTTCTGGGAAATGGAGTGCATGCGAAGGCGGCACATTGATTGGAGCCCAGAGGCGGAAGACCTTCCCACAAGCGCACTCCCTTCCCGACCGGAGGCGGTGTAGCGTTCGAAGGTTCCCAGAACTCTTGTGGAAGGTGAGGGCTTAGGGTCTAGGACTTCCACATGCTGAGTGAATGCAGCGGCGGACAGAAGGGACCCCTGGAGACTGGGATGGATTAGTAGGCATGATCTGGTGGAGCTAGCTTGCGCGAGAGCCGCGGACGGAGAGTGTCCTGCCTAGTGTGCATAGATTATTTAGGACACAGAGGCGGCACCTGTGTCCTTGTGTGTCAACTGTGTGTCAGAATCCTGTACTTTCAACTTGGAGGTCCCGGTCTTCCGCTACTTCCTTCTTTCCATAATGGGTGCTTCATGAATGTAGGTGGTACCGACCCTGAAACCAGGGGTGTCCACTCTACTCTCACCCAGTCCCCAAATCAGCTTTTGCATTACAGGTGTATGTCACCATACTTCTGTTTTCCATGAAACTTAAGTCATGCTATCAAGCTTTGCAAAATGCTGGGATGTGTTGCAGGATTTACTATTTTAGTCTAAATATCTGCTTAACGTTGTGACTATCTTTTGATGAAAGCAAATTAATACATAGAATTAAAAGCTTCCAGGAACACTTTTTCGAATCCAACCTCAGCCTTTTTACAAAGCCGGAATGTCCTATGGTACCTCTTTTATTAATGTATGAGGATGGAAATTAAATTATCCTTATCAAATCACTTAGCAAGAGCCCCATAAGAGCAATTGCCAGCAATACTAGTTAGGGTGATGTTTAAGAGCACTCCATTGTGTGTCTAGCCTCTAGGCAATAAATTATTTAATCAAGTTTCCTGTTGTAGATGCTTAATATAGTTCAATTGTTAGTTGCATTGGTTTAAATGGGGTGATATGTGTGATGCATTTAAGAAGCTGGCTGACAGAGAACCTTCAATAAAGATGATGTGTTGGTCATGGTTAATTACAAGCTCTGTAACTATTCTCTCACATTTCTAGAAAAAATTCCTAGAAGAGAATTGGCCAATCTGAGAGTGTCTGTGTTTGAAAGCGCTTGTATTTGTCACAATGATCTTTCTAAAGTACATTTCTAATGAGGACATGACCATGCTCAGACACCACCCCCCAAGCTCCCTTTGATGTAGTTTGACCTCTGCTGCTCTCTCCAGGCTCATCTTTTCTCCAGCATTGCTCATGACTAAGACTGCCTCTTATCTGCTTTCCACAGTAATCCTTTCTGTGATAAGGGTCTGCCTCGTATTTCTACTCAAGGTTTTCTATGCCTATAATGTTGCTCTTCCTCACATCAAAACTATACAGCCCAGTTGTGCCAAGATAGCTGCAGCATTTCTCCTTCAGTCCTTCCTCCCTGGCCTAGGGGGAGCCACTTCAAAGCCCTGACAGTTTACCATGTGTCTCTCTTTATAGTACCACCCTATAGTAAATGTTAGTTGGTTTCTTTGTTCTGTGTATAAAGCTGTTGCTCCTGGCGGGCAAGGAAAGTGTCTTGCAGGGTTGGTGCTAGGTGTAGTTGGTACTAAATAAATGCTGACTAAATGGGTGGATGGATGGATCACAAGGAGCAGTGATTCCTTTGGCTGAAATAGAGTGGTCAATAAGCCACAGATGCACCTTTCCCTTTCTTCCCAGAAGTATACATACTATCTCCCCACCCCACCAGGAGTTCCCCATTAAACTCCCTTTTTAGGGGAAAGAATTGAGGTGGTGTTTCCTGTATAGCCCAGGCTGGCCTTGAACTCAGGACATAGTCCTGACTGGCCTTGAATTTGCCTTGGCTTCTTCTTGAGTGCTGAGATTGCAAGTGTTCACTGCCACACCAACCAGGCTTTAGTTAGACTCTTCATAGTGACAAGGTGAGATGCATTTAGCTAAGTTATGCAAAGGGAGTTAGGAGAGGATAAGTCTTCTGGGAATCCAGGATAAGTAAAGGTGCAGTGTGTGGGAACCTGAGCTCACTGCTTCTCAGCTTAGAACCAGTGTTTCACCTCTAATGTGAGCCACAGCCATTGGTTCTCTCTCCTGGTAACTCTGCTCCCTGGTCCATGAGGCTACTTCAGTACCTCCTGATACCTTTTCATGAACACCTGCATGTGATTGCAAGTGTTTAAAATTCATGTTCACCTAGAAGGATGCTATCTTTTCATACCAGATCATTTCCATCATAGTTTTTGTTAACAGGATTCAAACTAGACATACTTGGGAAAGAGAATCTCAACTGAGTTGCCTCCATCAGATTGACCTGTGAGTATGTTTGTGTAGGACATGTTCATTCTTCCTTTCTTCTTCTTTCTTTTATTCTTTCTTTCCTTTTTCTTTCTCTCTTTCATTCTTTCTTATTTCCTTCCCTTTTTCTTTGTTCTCAAGTCAGGGTTTCTCTCTGTAGCCCTGCTGTCCTGGAACTCACTCTGTAGACCACACTGGCCTCAAACTCTAAACTCATAGATATTTGCCTGCCCCTGCCTCCCAAGTTCTGGGATTAATGATGTGCACTGCCTCCATATGGAGTATGGCTCATTTTTTTAATTATCTGTTGATACAGGAGGGCCTAGCCCATTGTGGATAACCCTGTCTCTGGGAAAGCAGGCCTTTAACCTGTGAACCATATAAACCCTCTCCTCTCTGAGTGGCATTTAGTCCGTGTTTCAACAGAGAAAGAGCAAACCAAGATGTCTCTAGTAGGCCAGTTAATTAGTCACTAATTACTAGTTCCTAATTGGTTATTCACTAATTGCTAAGCTTTGATATGATAAGTGTGGTTTTAGAAATGAGATGCAGAGTCTTATAGTATCAGAGATGGATGCTTCATTAGCAAGGGTTGTCAATGGAATGCTACTCTTCTAAAGGGGTTACAGCTTTTATTTGTCTTATCTTTGGTAATTTGTAAAGGTACTTATACATTTTGATCACTAAACATTCAGGGCAAAATTAAATGTGAATATATAAATATCATTGGAACCTTACTGCGCTCTGACTACTGGGAACAGAACTCTGCCCTGGAAATAGTGGTACAGCAGATACTATCGTGGTTTCTATATCCATAGATTTCTTCTAACTCTGGAATGAGCATGGAGTGCTCTTGGCCTTGCTTTGTTGCTCTTTGTAAGGTGTTGGGAATGAAGGTGGCTGCATTGCTCACTGGTATATGGAGGGCCCTTGTCATGTGGGTCATTACATGGGTCAGAAAACCCCAGGTCATTGTCATAAGTTCTCTCCTCCCATTTTTTCCTCACTAGGACACTGTTCTTCCCTCCCAGGACAGCATAGGAGGGATTGGCTACTGTATCTCCACCTACCATGTGCCAGGTGAGGTGAACATTTTTATTTCTGAAAAACTGCTATTGACAAAATGTAGTCACTTTTCTTTCTTTATCCTGAGAGTCTTCCTTCACAACTCTTCACCCCTAGGCCAATGAAGGGCTCCAAAGTAAGATGACATTCAGTACCCTGAGCCTGTGGCCTTCCCAGAAGCTGACAGAACAGGTCTGCCTGGCAGATTCTGGAATCAGTGGTTCCAACCTGATCGTCCCTTTGGTGCAGCCAATGATGGACTGAGAGTCAGTCCCCATATGCCGAAGAGTGTTGGGTTAGGCTGGAGTTTGTGCATGCTGTAGGCATTCAGAGTTAGACCCTGCCTTAAGAAAAACAAGAAAGAAAAGGATTGTAAGGGAGTGTATTGTGTTTTCAGACATCGGTGACATTTGAAGATGTGGCTGTGACTTTCACAGATGAAGAGTGGAGGCATCTGGTCCCTGTGCAGAGGGCACTCTACAAGACAGTGATGTTGGAAACCTATGAGACCATCATCTCACTGGGTAAGGAGGCTTCCTGTGAGGCGTCATAACTTGTCCCAAACCAGTGTGGGTCACATGGGCTGGGGATTGCTACCTCTTTGACCCCACCTGAGTTTAGACCCACCTGACAGACAAAAGAGCCAACAGAGGTGGCTTTAGGTACATAGCTGGTGACCCCAGCCCTGGACAGATGGACTGCCCTGATGTTAACATCACTGGGCAACCACAGGCCTCCTTGTTCAGCAACTTGTTTCCACAAAACTGAAGGCAGTCTAGGGGATAGGGCAGAGTGTGTGTGTTGTATGTAGGGATCTAGCTCTCCAGATAGCCATTAAAACATTGTAGAAAATCTGTGCTAAATAAAATTACTACTTTAAAGTTACTACATGAAAAGAATTGCAAGTCAGTAGTATTTCACTATCCTGCTTTTTAAAGTTCTCTTAACATTTCATTACATTTTTCTTTATTTACTTGGGGAGGCATACATGTGCACCAGCATGTGTGTGCAGATGAGAGGACGAGTAGAGGGAGTTGGTTTTCTCCTTCACCATGTGGGCTGTAGGGAGTGAACCAGTTAGCAAGCTTGGTGCACCCACTAAGCCCCCATTATCCAATCTTTAACAGAATCACATATAAAGCCTTTCAGCATCAAAATGAAGAAAGAAATATTAGTAGAAACCATGAAGGGTGGTTTTCCTTTTTACTTAAGATAACTCTAGTTTTCCTACAGTGAACACAACAGACTTGTTTCCATAAAAGCAATATACTAAATATGAGCAAACAAACAAAATTGAATTCCCTCTTTGTGCTTTTTCAGTCAAGATGATCTTTTTCTTTCTTATATTCATCTCTTGAGACAAGGGCCTCTATCCTGCCAGTGTCTGGATGGAAAGCCTCCGTATGCTGCCTGTGAATTGAGGTGGCTTTTGTGGGCACTGCGCTGGCGCCTGGTGTTTGTCCTTTTCAAGAGCCTCAGTCTGGACCTTCCCTCAAAGGTGTCTTTGTTCTGTAGTCTGCATTTCTGGAAGAGTCTAGACTTAGAGGTCAGGACTAAGTTTTGGAATGGTTAGTATTTCATCACAGCAGCCAGTTGTTTTACATTTTCTCCATGAGCAGGGATTCCCATTCCTTGGTCTGACGTGATTCTTCAGTTGGAGAAAAGGGACAAGCCATGGACACAGGGTCTTCTTGGATCCAAGGAGAAAGAATGGCCAGAGAGCATCTCTCTAGGTAACTGAGTTTGAGCAGGATGGGCAGAGTTTTGTTTGTTTGTGTTATCTGGGTATGGATGAATGTTAGGAATCATCCTTTTCTCAAATTCAAGTTGTCTGTTTGCATGGTTTGTTTTGGTTTTGGTTTTGGTTTTCCAGACAGTGTTTCTCTGTGGCTTTGGAGGCTGTCCTGGAACTACCTCTTGTAGACTAGGCTGGTCTTGAACCCACAGAGACCCCCCTGCCTCTGCCTCCTGAGTGTTGGGATTAAAGGCGTGCACCACCACCGCCCAGACTTCTGTGTACATGTTTGCTTCCTATTTCTCATCAGCTCCCTGGTCCCCCCTTCTACACACTAAAGTTCTGTGTTCACCATCTTGTTCTCAGAACTGTCACTTTGCCTGTGTACACCTCTTATATTTTTATTGGTCACCCAGGTCTCTGCTTAGCCCACCCTAATTAAGCTATTGGCCTCACTCCAGAGCCACTCTCCTGTATTCTGAGAAGTCCGTTGTCATGTTCTTTCCCTGGCTCCTCCTTTATTCCCAAGCCTTAGGCTTTCCCAATGTGTAAGACTGCTGAGAAATGAGCTGTGCTGCCATAGCATCTCTCTCCCCTGTCATTATCTCCAGGTCCAGAGAAGAAAGTGCATCTGACTTTTCTCTTTGTTGCAGACCAGGAGACTAAGCCTGAGAGCCTAGCTGCTTCAGAAGGAACACTGGGAGAAAGCCATAGACAGCAAAGTCCTCTGTGCCCTAAACCTAAAGTTCAAACACTAGCAGGTGGGTCAGGACCAGAAAAGGAAAGACTTGAAGCAGAGACTTGCAAGAAACCCCTTTCCCTGGACAAAAGCTTGAAGGGAAGGTCAGCCCCATCCAAGAAAATCCTCACTAAACGGCAAGACCAGGAATGTAGGGACTGTGGGAAGACCTTCTTTGATCATTCATCCCTCATCCGCCACCAGAGAACTCACACTGGAGAGAAGCCCTATGACTGTCCTGAGTGTGGGAAGGCCTTCAGTCACAGGAGCAGTCTCAGTAGACATCTGATGTCCCACACGGGAGAGAGCCCATATGAGTGCAGTGTGTGTGGCAAAGCCTTCTTTGACCGTTCATCCCTAACTGTACATCTGCGGATTCACACAGGAGAGAAGCCTTTTAAATGCAGTGAGTGTGGGAAAGCCTTCTTTGACCGATCATCCCTAACCCGCCACCAGAGAATCCATACTGGCGAAAGTCCCTATGAATGTCAACAGTGTGGAAAAGCCTTTAGCCAGAAGAGCATTCTCACTCGTCACCAGCTGATCCACACTGGCAGGAAGCAGTATGTATGCAGTGAGTGCGGGAAAGCTTTCTATGGGGTTTCTTCCCTAAACAGACACCAGAAAGAACACAATGGGGAGCCGCACCATCAGTGCAATGAGTGTGGGAAAGCCTTCTTTGACCGCTCTTCTCTCACACAGCACCAGAAGATACACACTGGAGACAAGCCGTATGAGTGCAGCGTGTGTGGGAAAGCCTTCAGCCAGAGGTGCCGGCTCACACAACATCAGAGAGTTCATACAGGGGAGAAACCCTTTGAGTGTAGTGTGTGTGGAAAAGAGTTCAGCTTCAAGTCCTCAGTTATTCAACATCAGAGGCGTTATGCCAAACAAGGGACAGACTGACCAGGGGAGAAGCATGAGCTTCCCAAAGGGCCCTCCTATAAAATAGGTCTCCCTGTCATCTGCAAACCCAGCATTTGCTCGTACTGACTACTCTGGCTGCCATCTTCCCGTCCCACCTCTGCTAGGCAGTATCTGAGTAAACAGTGTACCTATTGTGCAACAGAACAAACATGGATTGAAGAAACTGAAAGATGAATCTGCAGATTCAAAATCGTGTACAGAGGCTGGGTGTAGCGCAGTGATGGAATACCGCCTCATATGAGGCCCTGCTGTCTGATCCCCAGCACTTCAAAAGAAAGCTGGAACAATTGTCAAACATCAGGATAGATGTTAGAAGGGGAATCTGCAGACATAACCTTATGAGAACATAAACACTGCACTTGAAATAAATGCAGGCTGTTACAGTAGGGGAATGTCACAGCTATGGGAGAGCACCATTTTCTCCAGAAGTTTCTATAGCTTTTAGTCCTTTTGAAGCTTTTTGGAACACAGACCTTGTCTCGTGCCCTAGCATTTCGCCTGCCTAGTACTTAGTAGTATTGGTAGCACTTATTAAGCACTTATTTTGGGGTAAACACTCAGCAGAGAAATATAGAAGGGCTAGATTGACTGATCCTTTAACTGAATCTGTGAGACAGGTCCCTTTGCTGTATCACTCTCACAGATGAGCACAGTGAAGTTTGGAGAGATTAAGTTATATACTCGGGTGACACAAGGTGAAGCCAGGTTTTCTATTGCTGTGTAGAGATCAATGACCAGGGCAACTAATAAAAGAAAGCAGTTCATTGGGGGCTTCTTTACAGTTCCAGAGGATGCGTCTGTGACCTTCTTGGCAGGGAGCATGGCAACAGATAGGTAGGCATGGTGCTGGAGCAGTAGCTGAGAGCTTACATCTGATCCACAAGCAGTCGGCCAAGAGATGGGGAGAGACAGACAGACAGACACAGTAGTTTTAGCATGGGTATTTGAAACTTCAAAGCCCACCCCCAGTGACATACCTCCTCTAACAAAGCCACACTAATCCTAATCCTTTCTAAACACTCTACCAATTGAGAACCAAACATTCAAATAAATATATGAGCCTGTGGGGGGCACTTCTCATTCAAACAGCACACTCCACTCAATTTCACTCAGCTGGTCCTCATGCTGTGAAACAGGTCCTTTTGCTATGTGAAAGTCACAGATGAGCACACTGAGGCTTCAACAGATTAATAACATACCCTGGACAACACAAAGTGAAACCAGGTCTTTAGTATGGGTCTGCCTTCAGTGTTTCTACTATAGTATGCTCTTAAATTTTGTCTCATAATTTATATGCCTGAATTATCTTCTAAACTGGATTGTAAGCACTTGGAGGTGTGATTTAAAAGGTCTCTAAATCTTACACAATGCCTTGCAAACATTAGGTGCTCAATAAATGTTTATCTAAATGAATACCAAGGTCTCTGTATTCAAAACTTGCTTGGGTCCACCTCCTTTCTGAGTTTTCACACTCCAGACTATAACATCCCAATAGTCACTTCCCATTTCTATATCTTCCTTCTTCATTGCTCAAGAGAACATACTAAGGTGTGACACAGTAACAAAGAAGCCTCCTAGGTAAACAAAGCCCTGAGTCTCTCCTTTAGTGTGTATCAGTCTGTCCATTCATTCTGTGCCAAGTGGGACCCACACATCACCACAAATAAAGAAGGGAAATGATATTTTTGTCATCTAGGTGGCATTCTGATCACTTCTAGAGTCAGAATCCACACCTGAGGGTGAGGAACACAAGCAGGCACCTTGGTATCTGGATGACACTAGAAGCCACTATCAAAGTTACATTTTACACATCACTTAGTCTTTCCACATGGCCCTTTCAGCCCATTATTCCATATCTAAAATATTGGCTATTAATTGAAATATCTCCGGATATTTAAAATTTTCCATCACCAAACTTCAGATCCTGGGTGTTGCAGGATATTTAATCACAATGTGAAACTCCTGAGAGTATGTTAATAAAATGAACCTTGGATCAGGGGACAGAGCCAGTGCCTAGTTGACGAGAATTAGCCATAGAGTGCTTGGAGGACCTGGTAAGATGGATAGACACACAGGAAGGAGTAGGGAGGGTCTAGAGATTGAGGATCCTTTTTGGTTTTGGATGATGTGGAAAGAAGCTCTCTTGCTTCGTCTCTGGCCAAAAAAAAAAAAAAAAAAAAAAAAAAAAGGCAGCTGGTGGCTTCTCTGATCTAGCAAGTTTCTACCCCCGATATCTGACTCCTAAATCTTTATTGGTAAATAGAACAACTTAGATAAAAAACAACACCTGAATACCCAACGGCATCTATTTCCTAAATGAAGCCCTATGTTTTTATTGTATTAAAGGTCAGGTATGAGGCAACCTTGACTTTGGGAGTCTATAGTCTCTTTTTGCATGGTAAGGCCTGGGAAAAGCCTTGTGTATTCCAGTTGACCAAAGTGGGTCTCTTTGAACTGAGAGGATGTGGAATTGCCAAACAGTCCTCACCCATGCTACAAAACATAAATTCACTTAGGTCTTTCTTTAAGCAGAAAACTGTCAGGGAATAATTTTATGTGCGTATCTTATATAATCTATAAGCAGCTTGAAGACAACATCACAGGATTTGCATGTGGATAATGCCTAATGTTTCATAATGGCAAGTAAAAACTAAAGAGTACTATTGATTGACATACATGTCCGTTGACCGTCTCTGAGAGTTCTGAGTCTTTCCTTGTTCAATAAATTGAGTATTGTATTTGTTTAAGACACTGCCATTATCAGTGAGATAAGATTGGGACAAATCCAGAATTCAAATGGACTTTTGGGGAAAGTGACTGAAAACAGTGGGGAGGTCAATCCATAGCTTCCTTTTGAAAAGCTGCTCTGCACTCCTAGCAGCACCAGCAACCTCTGGTGCTTGTAAGGCTCTGCCATCAGCCCAGGCTATTGGTCAGTGAGTTTGCAACCTACGATCACTAGCTATGCCGACCCCTCAGTTTCCTTTGTGAAATCTTTCCCCTTTTTAGCCTACAACTAACTGTCACTGATACCCTAAGAAAGGTTTTACATTTGACTTGCCAACATGTGGCCACACCAAAACAATGTATTTTTCATTCCTGCCATTAACTACCTTTTCTGTTTATTTTGGGGAGTAAGTGGACAGGCCTGGTTTACTGATATCTTTCCCAAAGCCCAGCTTTAAAGTAACTGGTAACACTCCCATTTCTGTCTCATGGGTTTGCCATGTTTGTTTGCATGAATCCTGACAATTCGTTTGAAGTCCAGCCAGCATTGAGGAACACACAAGAAACTCCTAAGTAGCACTTTTGTTCACACTCACAGACAATAAGAAAAATGATGAGAAAGGGGAGTTTTGATCTAAGAAGTGTTAGATCTAATAAGATTTGGGCATTATGTTGAAGAAAGGAGTACTTTTCCATCCCACCCCACCCCCAAGTTAATGACTACTAAAATTGAAATCAAAGCAAGTGAAGGTATAAGAGGGTTTATTTAGGTTGTCTCAGTGACAGGGGTGTTGTAATTGGGACAGATATTTACCTCAGTTTCCATGAAGGAATTAAAGATGCTGTGTCAGATTGTTCCGAGCAAGGAAATGTGGATTTTCAACCCCACAAATTACAAGTCAGAAATGGCTCGGTTCCTACAAGTGATACAGAAATGGTACTATTAACCATATTGGAGTGGCTGAGTAACACATGCTCGTCCTGATCTTACCCTGACTCCTACTTTTCATCCCCTACTCCTTGAATAATTACTTCTGCTTTTTGTCAATGTGATGGTTAATATTACATTTAAGGAGAACAAAAAGCAAAAAAAAAAAAAAAAAAGAAAAGAAAAGAAAAGAAAATCCTCTAAAATGTAAGCCCTTGCCTTATACAGGCTGTACACTAGCAGCCCACTTCCCTTTATCCCAGACATTGAAAACTATAAATTGACTGATCTTGTAAAAATTTCCTCTTCTACCAAAGTAGTAGGTCATAAGAGTAACTGCTGAGCCAGGAGACAGTCTGGGAACAGCTGGAAAGGTCCCGGGAGTGAACGAGATAGTTTAGGAAGTTTGTACCTAACTCCAGTAACGGCCCAAGTTTATTGAACATTACGTTGCCTTTGATTTCAGATGCACTCGTGTATTCATGGTAGAGGTTGTTCACACAAGCACGTCCAGCCCTAGGCCTTGGTTTTTACCTCATTTGGTCATGGCTCTACCCTATTCCTGCTTGCCCAAATGAGTCACGTGATGGTCCTGGACTCCTCTGAAAAGTAAGCCTCCAACAAACTACTTCTAATTTGTCCTGGTCATGGTGTTTTATCAAGAAATAGAAACTAACACCGGGTTTTCTTCTTCATTACCTTCTTCAGCGTATCCTTTAAGGCTTTTTTTTTTCCTTTCCTGTGGGCAATGGTGGTCAGACAAGCTATATTTGCAACCTAATGAATTGGTCATGATTTGAAACACCTGGAGATTCTGGGAGAGTCAAAAATGGAGGACAATTGCTTGTGAGAGTGCCCTGGGCTCTTCTCAAGGCTTTTCAGCGTGGAGTGGAGAGGCTTCAGTTCACTCAGTGAGGGTATCCATGAAGACCAATGGGCAGTTGAAGACCTGGCAGGTGGGGATCTCAGTGAAAAACATCCTCCAGATCTGTCTTAAGGAAGTGACCATGTCTATGGCTACAAAGAGATTTTTCTGAAGCACACAGAAGCCCTCCGGGAACTCAGGAATGACTGAATAAGTCCCTTTCCTAAGAATAGGTGATTGTGTGTTTCTCTTCACCTTGTCTGACCAAAAAATCATGGGGCTACTTTACAAGCTTCCATTGGATACTTGGAAACCTAGCTGAGGATTTCTGTATGCATCCATCCTTCAGGGTTACAAAGGGAGTCTTTCACAGTTGCCTTCTGCAGTGCCTTAGGGGCAGACTGAGGCTTACAAGGTCTCCATCAGACAGACAGAGAAGAAAGGGGTCAACAAAAATTAGTCAGCAGGACTGTGACCTTGGCAGTCTAGTGACCTAATCTATTCCCTTCACTGACAGGTGAGCCATCCCTTTGGTGTCCCCTGTAGCAGATATGGTAACACTAGAGAGTTTTTGAATGACACCCATGAGAGGCAAAACCTGTGGTCAATATTTGATGGAACTGCTCTTGGAGTTCAGTAAACTTCTTTCCTTGCAGACAGCAGCATGAGCATGTAACACAAAGAAGGTATGTATTTACTCAATAGAAGGATTAGCTACTTTGCCAAGGATATGTTCTACTTAATAAAGACTGGTATTGGAGGAGTCTACTTGATAGCCAAAGAGATCAAGTTTTTAGGTAGGGAGGGGGTTTACAGATAGTGGTGGGAGATCAAAGAGTCACTGTCAGTCCCTGGAGGTACTGGGGTCATCTCAGGTTTCAGAGTTCAGTCGTTCACAGACCACATGTGATCATCCAATGGCCAAATGAGGACTGTTACTGATCCTGCCTTTTGGTAATGTGCAGTTTAATGAGCCTGTCCCTCTTGGGAAGCCCCAGACCTGAGCCTTTCTTAAGCCTATTCAAAAGATTGTTCCTCAGTCCCTTGATTAGAAGAGGTTTGGATTACGGACCTTCATTTAGTTTCTCACAGACTGGCCTGGCTATTTCTTTAAATGCTGCAATCCATATTCTGCAGTACCCTGTTAGTTCCGGAAAAGCCCGATCATGTCTCTTATTTTAGAGAGGAAGTAAGTACAGATATCCTGGGGTCCAATGAAGATTCAGTAATTGGAGTTTTTTGTCTCACAACTTGAGTCCCTAGCAACTTTGCATCCTCTTTGAGCTACAAAGTTTTACAGTCTGTACAGCCTGTTGTTTGGCTGGTGTCTGAAGCAGTAGGAAGGAGGTCATCCTCACACAGGATTCTGGTTACAGAGTTGAGTGTAAATTCTCAAGGTGCCACCCAATCCAAAATAGACAGGTACGTTCTGGGCTCATGCATCTGGGATAGTCCACTGAAAGGTGACTAAGAACTGGGAGCCCTGGCTTTCAGAAAAGACTGGCACGCTGGCAAACCAGAAACCGGGATGTGTGCTGTCTTAGGGCCCTCCTCCCAGCTGCACTGTTCAGATCCATCTTCATCGGAGAGCTGGCCTCCAGGTTTACTAGCTCAGGCACACACACCATGGTCTCACCTGCTTCAGCACACGACTCTGGAGCACCAACTTGTGCAACTTAGTGTGTTTTTTTTACACGTCATCTTAAGGCGCAACTGCTGCGGAGACTTCTGGGAAATGGAGTGCATGCGAAGGCAGCACATTGATTGGAGCCCAGAGGCGGAAGACCTTCCCACAAGCGCACTCCCTTCCCGACCGGAGGCGGTGTGGCGTTCGAAGTGTCCCAGCACGCGTGTCTAAGGTGAGGGCTGAGGGTCTAGGTCTTCCACATGCCGAGTGAATGCAGCGGCGGACAGAAGGGACCCCTGGAGACTGGGATGGATTAGTAGGCATGATCTGGTGGAGCTAGCTTAGGCGAGAGCCGCGGACGGAGAGTGTCCTGCCTAGTGTGCATAGATTATTTAGGACACAGAGGCGGCACCTGTGCCCTTATGGTGAACGTCCACTGTGTGTCAGAATCCTGTACTTTCAACTTGGAGGTCCCGGTCTTCCTCTACTTCCTTCTTTCCATAATAGGTGCTTCATGAATGTAGGTGGTACCGACCCTGAACCCAGGGGTGTCCACTCTACTCTCACCCAGTCCCCAAATCAGCTTTTGCATTACAGGTGTATGTCACCATACTTCTGTTTTCCATGAAACTTAAGTCATGCTATCAAGCTTTGCAAAATGCTGGGATGTGTTGCAGGATTTACTATTTTAGTCTAAATATCTGCTTAACGTTGTGACTATCTTTTGATGAAAGCAAATTAATACATAGAATTAAAAGCTTCCAGGAACACTTTTTCGAATCCAACCTCAGCCTTTTTACAAAGCCGGAATGTCCTATGGTACCTCTTTTATTAATGTATGAGGATGGAAATTAAATTATCCTTATCAAATCACTTAGCAAGAGCCCCATAAGAGCAATTGCCAGCAATACTAGTTAGGGTGATGTTTAAGAGCACTCCATTGTGTGTCTAGCCTCTAGGCAATAAATTATTTAATCAAGTTTCCTGTTGTAGATGCTTAATATAGTTCAATTGTTAGTTGCATTGGTTTAAATGGGGTGATATGTGTGATGCATTTAAGAAGCTGGCTGACAGAGAACCTTCAATAAAGATGATGTGTTGGTCATGGTTAATTACAAGCTCTGTAACTATTCTCTCACATTTCTAGAAAAAATTCCTAGAAGAGAATTGGCCAATCTGAGAGTGTCTGTGTTTGAAAGCCCTTGTATTTGTCACAATGATCTTTCTAAAGTACATTTCTAATAAGGACATGACCATGCTCAGACACCACCCCCCAAGCTCCCTTTGATGTAGTTTGACCTCTGCTGCTCTCTCCAGGCTCATCTTTTCTCCAGCATTGCTCATGACTAAGACTGCCTCTTATCTGCTTTCCACAGTAATCCTTTCTGTGATAAGGGTCTGCCTCGTATTTCTACTCAAGGTTTTCTATGCCTATAATGTTGCTCTTCCTCACATCAAAACTATACAGCCCAGTTGTGCCAAGATAGCTGCAGCATTTCTCCTTCAGTCCTTCCTCCCTGGCATAGGGGAGCCACTTCAAAGCCCTGACAGTTTACCGTGTGTCTCTCTTTATAGTACCACCCTATAGTAAATGTTAGTTGGTTTCTTTGTTCTGTGTATAAAGCTGTTGCTCCTGGCGGGCAAGGAAAGTGTCTTGCAGGGTTGGTGCTAGGTGTAGTTGGTACTAAATAAATGCTGACTAAATGGGTGGATGGATGGATCACAAGGAGCAGTGATTCCTTTGGCTGAAATAGAGTGGTCAATAAGCCACAGATGCACCTTTCCCTTTCTTCCCAGAAGTATACATACTATCTCCCCACCCCACCAGGAGTTCCCCATTAAACTCCCTTTTTAGGGGAAAGAATTGAGGTGGTGTTTCCTGTATAGCCCAGGCTGGCCTTGAACTCAGGACATAGTCCTGACTGGCCTTGAATTTGCCTTGGCTTCTTCTTGAGTGCTGAGATTGCAAGTGTTCACTGCCACACCAACCAGGCTTTAGTTAGACTCTTCATAGTGACAAGGTGAGATGCATTTAGCTAAGTTATGCAAAGGGAGTTAGGAGAGGATAAGTCTTCTGGGAATCCAGGATAAGTAAAGGTGCAGTGTGTGGGAACCTGAGCTCACTGCTTCTCAGCTTAGAACCAGTGTTTCACCTCTAATGTGAGCCACAGCCATTGGTTCTGTCTCCTGGTAACTTTGCTCCCTGGTCCCTGCGTTTACTTCAGTACCTCCTGATACCTTTCATGAACACCTGCATGTGATTGCAAGTTTTTAAAATTCATGTTCACCTAGAAGGATGCTATCTTTTCATACCAGATTATTTCCATCATAGTTTTTGTTAACAGGATACAAACTAGACATACTTGGGAAAGAGAATCTCAACTGAGTTGCCTCCATCAGATTGGCCTGTGAGTATGTTTGTGTAGGACATGTTCATTCTTCCTTTCTTTTTCTTTCTTTACTTCCTTTCTTCTTTTTTTCTTTCTCCCATCCTTCTTTCCTTCCCTCTTTCTTTTTTCTCAAGACAGGGTTTCTCTCTGTAGCCCTGGCTGTCTTGGAACTCACTCTGTAGTCCATGCTGGCCTCAAACTCTGCAAACTCACAGAAGTTTACCTGCCCCTCCCTCCCTAGTTCTGGAATTAATGGTGTGCACTGCCTCCATATGGAGTATGGCTCATTTTCTTAATTATCTGTTGATACAGGAGGGCCTAGCCCATTGTGGATAACCTTGTCTCTGGGAAAGCAGGCCTGGGCTATATAAGAAAGTAGCTGAACAAGTCAATAAGCAGTGTTCCTCCTTAGTCTTTGCTTCAGTTTCTGCCTCCAGGTTCCTGCCTAGGCTTCCCTTGGTAATGGTCTTTAACCTGTGAGCCATATAAGCCCTCTCCTTTCAGAGTTGCTTTTGGTTCATGTTTCATCAGAGCAAGAGAAAGCAAACCAGTGTATCTCTTACAGGCCAGTTAATTACTCACTAATTACTAGTTCCTAATTGGTTACTCACTGATTGTCCAATGGTGATCTGATCAGTGTGGTTCTAGGAATGAGATGGAGAGTCTTTTAAGTATCAAGGGCTGTCAATGGAATGCTAATCCTTTAAAGGGGTTACAGGTTTTATTTGTCTTATCCATATAGTAATTTGTAAGGGTGCTTATGGTTTTTACTCAGAAAACAATCAGGGAAAAATTAGGTGTGAATATATAAATATCATTGGAACCTTAATGTGCTCTGACTACTGGGAACAGAACTCTGCCCTGGAAATAGTGGTAAAGCAAACACTGTCATGATTTCCATATCCATGGCTTTTGTTCTAACTCTGGAATGAGCATGGAGTGCTCTTGGCCTTGCTTTGTTGCTCTTTGTAAGGTGTTGGGAATGAAGGTGGTCTCATTGTCACTGGTATATGGAGGGCCCTTGTCATGTGGGCCATCACATGGGTCAGAAAACCCCAGGTCATTGTCATAAGTTCTCTCCTCCCACACGTTTTCCTCACTCAGTTCTTTTCTTCCCTCCCAGGACAGCATAGGAGGGAATGGCTACTGTATCTCCACCTACCAAGTGCCAGGTGAGGTGGCCATTTTTACTTCATTCTTTATTCTGAGAGTCTTCCTTTATAACTCTTCACCCCTAGGCCAATGAAGGGCTCCAAAGTAAGATGACATTCAGTACTCTGAGCCTGTGGCCTTCCCAGAAGCTGACAGAACAGGTCTGCCTGGCAGATTCTGGAATCAGTGGTTCCAACCTGATCGTCCCTTTGGTGCAGCCAATGATGGACTGAGAGTCAGTCCCCATATGCCGAAGAGTGTTGGGTTAGGCTGGAGTTTGTGCGTGCTATAGGCATTCAGAGTTAGACCCTGCCTTAAGAAAAGAAAGAAAAGGGTTGTAAGGGAGTGTATTGTGTTTTCAGACGTCGGTGACATTTGAAGATGTGGCTGTGACTTTCACAGATGAAGAGTGGAGGCATCTGGTCCCTGTGCAGAGGGCACTCTACAAGGCAGTGATGTTGGAAACCTATGAGACCATCATCTCACTGGGTAAGGAGGCTTCCTGTGAGGCGTCATAACTTGTCCCAAACCAGTGTGGGTCACATGGGCTGGGGATTGCTACCTCTTTGACCCCACCTGAGTTTAGACCCACCTGACAGACAAAAGAGCCAACAGAGGTGGCTTTAGGTACATAGCTGGTGACCCCAGCCCTGGACAGATGGACTGTTCTGATGTTAACATCACTGGGCAACCACAGGCCTCCTTGTTTAGCAACTTGTTTCCACAAAACTGAAGTCTAGAGGATAGGGCAGAGTGTGTGTGTTGTATGTAGGGATTAGGCTGTCCAGAGGCAGCAAGGAGAAGAGTTAATGTGTCCTGGTCTTCTTGTGGCATGCCGACAGTAATGTCCTCAGTTCCAGCTGGTGGACAAGGAGCCATCTTGGTGAGAGGAACTGTCTCTCACTTGATGAAAGCCAGAGGAGGACAAAGAAGTGCCCCTGGAAGAAGCAGAGAGGGCATCAGAGATGAGCTGGATTTTGAATGTTTGTCTTAATGGCAATCTTAGCTACCTATAAAAGACACTTTGTAATTATACTTATATGATGAGGGGGTAATTTAGAGCTGTTGTTAATGTCAACTGTTAGTGATGTAAAGTGAAGTCCTTGCAGGTAATAAGGAACTCGACCAAACTTCCATAATAAGAGGCTGAAGCCAAGCACAGTAGTCTTGGCCACTCTAGGAGCACTAGTACACAGATGCAAAAGTAGATAACAGTCACATTGATGTTGCAGATTTATATTTAAAAGCCAGTATAAGCCTGAGAATGTAGCTAACTGGTTGAGTGTTTCCTAGCATGTACAAAGTCCTCAGTTTAATATCTGGGGCACACACACACACACACACACACACACACACACACACACACACACACACACACCCCTCTCCCATGTGTCCCCTCCCCCCCAGTCACCTCTGTCGGTCTCCTCTGTCTGTCTTCCCTGTCTCCCTTGTCTCCCCTGTCTCCCAAGGTGGAACCCTGTGCATGGGGAACTTAGAGCTCAGGTGTTTCCAGGAGTGGGATCTCATTTTGTTCTTACAGCTATGGATGTGATTGCCTCTAGAAATTGATTCAAAGAATGTAATAGGATTGCCAGTTCATACAGCACACCAGGAGATATTTCCCGGACTACTGTGTGTTAATAGCAAAACATTAAAAATAGTAAAATCTCTGTTGATAGAGGTTTGTTAAATTATTTATTCATACAATGTACTACTAGATAGCCAATGTATAATCATATAGCCATTAAAACATTGTAGAAAATCTTCTGTGCTAAATAAAATTACTATTTCAAAGTTACTACATGAAAAGAACTGCAAGTCAGTAGTATTTCACTATCCAGCTTTTTAAAGTTCTCTTAACATTTCATTACATTTTTCTTTATTTGCTTGAGGAGGCATACATGTGCACCAGCATGTGTGTGCAGATGAGAGGACCAGTAGAGGGAGTTGGTTCTCTCCTTCACCATGTGGGCTGTAGGGAGTGAACCCAGTTAGCAGGCTTGGTGCACCCACTAAGCCCCCGTTATCCAATCTTTAACAGAATCACATGTAAAGCCTTTCAGCATCAAAATGAAGAAAGAAATATTAGTAGAAACCATGAAGGGTGGTTTTCCTTTTTACTTAAGATAACTCTAGTTTTCCTACAGTGAACACAACAGACTTGTTTCCATAAAAGCAATATACTAAATATGAGCAAACAAACAAAATTGAATTCCCTCTTTGTGCTTTTTCAGTCAAGATGATCTTTTTCTTTCTTATATTCATCTCTTGAGACAAGGGCCTCTATCCTGCCAGTGTCTGGATGGAAAGCCTCCGTATGCTGCCTGTGAATTGAGGTGGCTTTTGTGGGCACTGCGCTGGCGCCTGGTGTTTGTCCTTTTCAAGAGCCTCAGTCTGGACCTTCCCTCAAAGGTGTCTTTGTTCTGTAGTCTGCATTTCTGGAAGAGTCTAGACTTAGAGGTCAGGACTAAGTTTTGGAATGGTTAGTATTTTATCACCCCAGCCAGCTGTTTTACATTTTCTCCATGAACAGGGATTCCCGTTCCTCGGTCTGACATGATTCTTCTGTTGAAGAGGGACAAGCCATGGACACAGGATCTTCTTGGATCCAAGGAGAAAGAATGGCCAGAGAGCATCTCTCTAGGTAACTGAGTTTGATCAGGATGGGTAGAGTTTTGTTTGTTTGTGTTATTTGGGTATGGAGGAATGTTAGGGATCATCCTTTTCTCAAATTCAAGTTGTCTGTTTGCATGGTTTGTTTTGTTTTTGGTTTTTGGTTTTTCCAGACAGTGTTTCTCTGTGGCTTTGGAGGCTGTCCTGGAACTACCTCTTGTAGACTAGGCTGGTCTTGAACTCACAGAGATCCACCTGCCTCTGCCTCCTGAGTGTTGGGATTAAAGGCGTGCGCCACCATCACCCAGACTTCTGTGTACATGTTTGCTTCCTATTTCTCATCAGCTCCCTGGTTCCCCCTTCTACACACTAAAGTTCTGTTTTCACCATCTTGTTCTCAGAACTGTCACTTTGCCTGTGTATACCTCTTATATTTTTATTGGTCACCCAGGTCTCTGCTTAGCCCACCCTAATTAAGCTATTGGCCTCACTCCAGAGCCACTCTCCTGTATTCTGAGAAGTCCGTTGTCATGTTCTTTCCCTGGCTCCTCCTTTATTCCCAAGCCTTAGGCTTTCCCAATGTGTAAGACTGCTGAGAAATGAGCTGTGCTGCCATAGCATCTCTCTCCCCTGTCATTATCTCCAGGTCCAGAGAAGAAAGTGCATCTGACTTTTCTCTTTGTTGCAGACCAGGAGACTAAGCCTGAGAGCCTAGCTGCTTCAGAAGGAACACTGGGAGAAAGCCATAGACAGCAAAGTCCTCTGTGCCCTAAACCTAAAGTTCAAACACTAGCAGGTGGGTCAGGACCAGAAAAGGAAAGACTTGAAGCAGAGACTTGCAAGAAACCCCTTTCCCTGGACAAAAGCTTGAAGGGAAGGTCAGCCCCATCCAAGAAAATCCTCACTAAACGGCAAGACCAAGAATGTAGGGAGTGTGGGAAGACCTTCTTTGACCATTGGTCCCTCATCCGCCACCACAGAACTCACACTGGAGAGAAGCCCTATGACTGTCCTGAGTGTGGGAAGGCCTTCAGTCAAAGGAGCACTCTCAGTAGACATCTGATTTCCCACACAGGAGAGGGCCCATATAAGTGCAGTGTGTGTGGCAAAGCCTTCTTTGTCCGTTCATCCCTAACTGTACATCTGCGGATTCACACAGGAGAGAAGCCTTTTAAATGCAGTGTGTGTGGGAAAGCCTTCTATGTTGTCTCTTCCCTAAAGAGACACGAGAAAGCACATGTTGAGGAGCCACACCATCAGTGCCATGAGTGTGGGAAAGCCTTCTTTGAACGTTTTACTCTCATCCGCCACCAGAGAACTCACACTGGGGAGAGTCCCTATGAATGTCAACAGTGTGGAAAATCCTTTAGTGAGAAGAGCATTCTCAATCGTCACCAGCTGATCCACACTGACAGGAAGCAGTATGTATGCAGTGAGTGCGGGAGAGCATTCTGTACAGTCTCTTCCCTAAACAGACACCAGAAAGCGCATGCTGGGGAACCAAACCATCAGTGCAGTGAGTGTGGGAAAGCCTTCTTTGACCGCTCTTACCTCGCACACCACCAGAAGATACACACTGGGGACAAGCCGTATAAGTGCAGCGTGTGTGGGAAAGCCTTTAGGGAGAAGAGCATTCTCACTCGTCACCAGCTGGTCCACACTGACAGGAAGCCGTATGTATGCAGTGAGTGCGGGAAAGCTTTCTATGTTGTCTCTTCCCTAAACAGACACCGGAAAGAACACAATGGGGAGCCGCACCATCAGTGCAATGAGTGTGGGAAAGCCTTCTTTGACCGCTCGTCTTTCACACAACACCAGAAGATACACACTGGAGACAAGCCGTATGAGTGCAGCGTGTGTGGGAAAGCCTTCATCCAGAGGTGCCGGCTCACACGACATCAGAGAGTTCATACAGGGGAGAAACCCTTTGAGTGTAGTGTGTGTGGAAAACACTTCAGCTCCAAGTCCTCAATTGTTCTACATCAGAGGCGTTATGCCAAACAAGGGACAGACTGACCAGGGGAGAAGCATGAGCTTCCCAAAGGGCCTTCCTATAAAATAGGTCTCCCTGTCATCTGCAAACCCAGCATTTGCTCGTACTGACTACTCTGGTTGCCATCTTCCTGTCTCACCTCTGCTAGGCAGTGTCTGAGTAAACAGTGTACCTATTGTGCTACAGAACAAACGTGGATTGAAGAAATTGAAAGATGAATCTCCAGATTCAAAATCGTGCGTCTGCCTGCATCTACCTCCTGAGTGCTGGGATCAAAGGTGTGCACCACTACTGCCTGGTAGTAGTTACTCTTATTGCCTACTACCCTGATAGAACAGCAAATTTTTATAAGAGCAGTCAATTTAAGAATAGTTTTCAATATCTGGGAACAGGGATGTGGGCTTCTAGGGTACAGCCTGTACAAGGCAAGGGCTTACATGTTAGAGGAATTTTTTTTTCTTTTTGTTCTCTTAAGTATAGTAAATCCAAACCTTAAGTGTAATATTAACCATCACATTGACAAAAAGCAGAAGTAACTGTTCAAGGAGTAGGGGATGAAAAGTAGGAGTCAGGGTAAGACCAGGACGAGCATGTGTTACCTCAGCCACTCCAATATGGTTAATAGTACCAGTTCAGTATCACTTGTAGGACCTAGCCATTTCTGAGTTGTAATTTGTGGGGTTGAAAATCCACATTTCCTTGCTCGGAACAATCTGACACAGCATCTTTAATTCCTTCATGGAAACTGAGGTAAATATCTGTGCCAGTTACAACACCTTTGTCACTGAGAGAATCTAAATAAACCCTCTTATACCTTTACTTGGCTTTGATTTCAATTTTATAGTCATTAACTTGGGGGGTGGAGAAGTAGTTCACCCCAAATTTATCATTACCTTGGTGCCTCTCGTCTACTCTGTTCGTAATAAGCCTCCATATACAAGCATATACAAGCCTTGCTGTCCCCAGATAAGATGGTCTTCGCTGGCCATAGCTTTCACTTTCCTTGCTAGCATTCTAAATCTCTCTCTCTCTCTCTCTCTCTCTCTCTCTCTCTCTCTCTCTCATGAAGTCAACACACACACACACACACACACACACAGGAGCATACACAAACCCAGAACCACTTATCTCCAAATTATTAGCTTTTTCAAGCAAGGCCAACTGAAATGATCCTTTCGAGTTAGTTACTGACCACCACACTAATTAAACCAATTAAAGTTTTGAGTCCTTTTATTAATGGCCAAATGAAAAGTGAGCTTGTGCCTCTGAAGTCTCTTGGTGTCCAAGCTCAGGTGTACAGCCTTTTTAAAAACAAAACCACAACTACATCGGTTGTGGTTGCTGGCAGAGGGGGGTGTTACATTTCCTGATGGAATCCGGGTTGCCTAGGAATATCTGTTTTCTTTGTAAAGTGCAGCAGTATCTTCCAGACACTACAAAATATATCTGGGCCATGGTCAAGGGTCATGGACAGTCCCAAAAGTGTTTCTTAGGTGAATGTGACTGTTGGGAGTAGGGAGCTGAGAAATGTCTGGGCAGACACAAAGTAAACTTGGGACAAGTTTATATCACAAGAAGTATCAGTTCCCAGTTACAAGCTTAATGAAAGTGGAGGCTGGGGACATGGCACAGTGGGTAAAAAGTGCCTGCCACCAAGCTGGATATGGTGGATATGGGGATGGACAACCTACTCTAGCAAGTTGTCTTTTGACAGCCACGGGCACTTTGTGTCATACCTCCAAATAAATAATGAATGAATGAAGTTTAAAATAAAAAAATAAGTGAAAGCTTCATCCAGACAAACAACCCGGTGGGGCATGCGTCCAAGCATTTCCCCTTAGAGAGGAGAAATGGGAAACCCACATGGGTAAAGGGCGCGATCCTCCAGGACACAGTCACCCAGAATGAAGGTCCTACGGCACGTCGTTTGGTGCCCTGAGTGCACAATGCTTGCGTCGAGGGACGGGAAGCAACGCGGGAACTCGTGCATGGGCCATGCAAAATTGAGAGTGCATATCGCTCGCACAGGGAGGTCCTCTGGGAAGCCCCCTGAGGCGTTAGGCGCTATGTCCAGAGGATTCTGGGAGTTGTAGTTCAGCGGAGCAGCCAGCTGGCGCGTCTCCGCCCAGGGGTCTCAGGTACCTTTGTAGGCGGTGAGAGGTCCCCTCGGAGATTGCAGAACAAGGTGAAGGTCTCGGCCCCGCCTCTAGGTGCACCCTAGCGGCATAGTCACACTGTTCCCTGGCGGGCGGTGTGGCAGCCTCGGTAGAGCCCGCGTCCTAGGTGAGGCACTGTGAGCGAAGCACAGGGCTTCCTGTTTCTGGGTCCCATATTGGGATTCTGAGGGAGAGCCGACTACTTCCATCCATTGGTCATCACGATGAGAGCAAATGCCCCTATAACCCACCGCTTCGACAGTTCTGCTTCTGGCACCTACTTGCTTTTGTCCCCTGGGGAACTCTGTAAGGAAAGAGACTACCCCATTTTGTCAGATAGGAAAAGCAGGGTCTTGGAAAGTCTCAGGTTTTATTTAGAATCCTTTTTGTTTGGGCTTGGGGTTTATTGTTTTTAGTTCTTAAATGCTTTAGATGTTTTCACACAAAACCCATCAGTGTTCAGAGAAAGCTGGTATTGCATTTGAAAAGCCAGTGGTCAAAAAGAAAAAAACTGGTGTCGTCTTCAGTCATCCCTTGAGCTGAAAGTACAACAAAGATGAATCATTAATTGAGGCACAGGTCTGTGCACAGAGATCTGTATTATTTTGACTAAGCAGATGAAAGAGAAATATGCATTTGTGTAAGGTATTCAGATTCTCACAGAAGAGGCCTACTGTAGTGTTAGCTGCAAAAGTGTACTGACATTCATATCAGCTGTCTTGTATCAGGGATGTTATGGGATTGTTCCCTCTATTAACTTTTAGGCAAGGTAGCTAGTGCCTGGGGGCTGGACTAACAGTCATGGCTCCTGCCCTCCACTTCTAGGCTCACTTTCTGAGAACTCAGCTCATCCCTGTGTTGGGAAACCAAAAGAAAATGGCATAATCAATGTGTTCCTGACACCTGGGACTCAGGTAAGTCTATATGTCTTCTTTGCTCAGCATGGATATGTGTTCTTCTTAAAACTTTCTCAATGCATATTTAAGAAGAAAAAAAAAAAAAACCTTTCTCTGCCCTATTTTGTAGACCACTAGGATCATCCTAAGAGACTGAGTGATGAACCTTACAGGAAATATTCTTCCCTTAGGACTTTCCTTCCTAGGATTGATTCTTGGCCATCCACTGTACTGTGCATGTTCTAACCACTCACAAGTATAAATGGCCATGTGAGATGAGAATTACTAACAGCCATACACCCTGACTCATGGTGTTTGCTGAGGCAGGAGACTATGAACACATAAAATAAATGGCATGAAGGAACACACACACACACACACACACACACACACACACACACACGCGTGTGTGTGTGTGTGTGTGTGTGTGTGTGTGTGTATGTATATGTATATATATACATTATATATATATATGTATGTATGTATGTATGTATTTTAAACACAGAAATGATGTCTCTGCCAAGTTATTGCTGATCTGGGAGGATGTCCATCAACAGACTACTTGAAAGGTTTTAAGATAAAAATTCATTTTGAAAAACTAAGGAAGGTAGTTGGTAGTTGGAAAGTAGAGAACAGGGATAATCCAAGCGAGAACAGCTTTGGTTGGTGGAACGGTGCCTGTAAGTGATTAGAGGGGTGAAATGGCATGTGTCACTGTAGGACGAGTTAAAGTCTAAGAGGGTGTGTTATATAACCCGACCACAGGAAAGAAATCCCTCCCTTGTCTTATTCCAAAGCTGCATAGGCCCCTCGAACATTTTCAGAAGGCCAGCAGGTGCCAAAACTGATTGGAAAGAAATTAATAAGCATATCTCTGTAGAATCTGGAAGACTGGCAGTCCTTCTGTATAGGTGCTGCCACTGCTTATCCATATCATACCCAGCTGCTGAGAGACATCAGACCAGGTATATTTGCTGACCAGGTATATAGTTGCTGACGATGGTAGATGGTATAAAACTTCAGTTCCGAGGGCTGGAGAGAGGCTTAGTGGTTAACAGGACTTGCTATTCTTGGGTTCGGTTCCCAGCATCCACATGGCAGCCGAAATCTTTGTCCACTTCTATATCCGACACCCTTTTCTGGCCTCCTCCGGCACCAGACACATACACATATGCAGTCAAAATGCTCATACATAAAACAAAAATAAATCCTGAAAGGGAAGCAATGAGACTGTCAGGAATGAATCCTAAAGTCCTTTCTGTGCATTCGGCTTAAGGGAAGGGAATAAGCTTGATGCCCCAGGAGGCAAGGCCATCTGGGAAGGAAAACCTAAGTGAGATCGAGTGTGAGTAACGATCACATGGCTGAAAGGATGGAGCAGGGGGACAGCACTCAGGAATAGGATGCAGCATGCATGCACAAGGCAATGTGACACACATTCCAACAGATGGATGGCAGTCAGCGCCCAGGGATTTAGAAGGATGAGTGTAGGAAGAAGAGTCGACGTGGAGCTTATCAGTGCCTTGGGGACAATGACAGCAGCATTTGGGGAACTTGATGAGTATTTGAGTTTTTTGTTTTTTGTTTTTTTAGTTTTTCGAGACAGGGTTTCTCTGTATAGCTTTGGAGCCTATCCTGACAATCGGGCTGGCCTCGAACTCACAGAGATCCGCCTGCCTCTGCCTCCCGAGTGCTAGGATTAAAGGCGTGTGCCACCAACGCCCAGCCCAAGTATTTGAGTTTGAGTAAATCCATATTCTGTGGCACTTGCAGCAACCATGTCTATCTATCTATCTATCTATCTATCTATCTATCTATCTATCTACCTATCTATCTATCTATCTATCTATCTATCTATCTATCTACTATCTACTATCTGCTTAGGGTTTTTTTGAGACAAGGCTTCTCTGTATAGCCCTGGAACTGTCATGGAACTCCTCTGCAGATCCAGCTGGCCTCGAACTCACAGAGATTCACCTGCCTCTGCCTCCCTCATGTTGAGATTAAAGGCGTGCGCCACCACTGCCTGTCAAACAAGTTGATTTTTAGTGTAATGGACTAAGAAAGGAAGGCTAAAGAGAGGAGCACTTTCTCTTTTATGAACCCCTTGTGTTTCAAAAACCATACTGCAAAGGCATTGTGGTACTTTTTGTGCCTTTCCCTGAATAAAGAGTAAGTAGTTCCTCAGTTGTTTAATTCATCAGTACAGAAACTAGAAAGTCCACGTCTTCATGTTTTTGATTTGAAGGTGCTGCTCACAGGTAGCATGGATTCTGATGCAAAAAAGACAAAGAACAAACCTGTGGAACATAAACATGCCAAAGGGTCTTAACGTTAAAAGGGACATGAGAGTCATTTTTGTCTACTCTTCCTGTCACCTTCCTACACTATCAGTGGTTCTTTGGGGCAAGGGGAGTCTCTGGCCAGAGGCCAATGGTAGCCATTGGTGTATTTGGCTTTTCAGGAATTGCTGACCAAGATATGGCTGAGGATCTCACCCAGTGGGGAAAGCTGAGCCCTTCTCAGGGAGATATGCCCAAGAAGCACAGGAATCTGGGTTTTGCTGAGTAAGAATTGTGCCCCTCCCCCTGTGAGTTACCTAGCTTGGTACCTTTCTACCAGGAACTCTGAGGCTCTTAGTTCCAAAGATCTGTAGTCTTTGTAAGGCCTGACAAAGCTCCTGCTTTGTGTTTATCATTCTACTTTGATCACTTCCAGAATTGTCGTCATAGCCTGTAGTACCTTTCTCTACTCCTTAGCCAAGGATATCAAGACAAAGTTCTGGTGTCTATAACTCTTAAGAGAATAGATAGTTATTTGTATAGTGAAGGTATAGTGATTTAACCATTCTGAACGCCAATAAACATTGTGCTGGCTAGTTTTATGTAAACTTAACAAAAGCTAGAGTTATCTGAAAGGGGGGAGCCTCAATTGAGAAAATGCCTACCTAAAATCTGGCTGTAGTGCATTTTCTTAATTAGTGATTGATGGGGGAAGCCCCAGTCCATTGTTGGTGGTGCCATCTTTGGGCTGGTGGTCCTGGGTTTATAAGAAAGCAGGCTGAGCAAGCCATGAGGAGCAAGCCAGTAAGCAGCACTTCTCCATGTCTTCTGTGTCAGTTCCTGTCTTCTGGTTCCTGCCCTGCTTGAGTTCCTGTCCTGACTTCCTTCACTAATGAATAGTGATGTGGAAACATAAGCCAAATAAACCCATTCTTCTGCGAGCTGCTTTGGTTATGGTGTTTCATCACAGCAATAGCAACCCTAAGTAGGCCAAACCCCATATCAACTTTTCTGCCTTCTAAGCACTATTGGAGAAATCTAAAACTGACCCTCCCCATCCCCTTTCTTCTCTTCTTCTTCCTCATCCCCCACATCTTTCCTTAGGACCAGGGCACCATCAGTGCACTCTTTACCAGACTCCTTTCCTTTTCTTTCCTTGTGAACAGGGCTTCCAATTCCCAAACCCGATGTGATCTCTCAGTTGGAGAACAGGGAAGAACGAGAGAGGGCTGTCTCAAAAGCAGCTAGTCCAGGTGAGTGACTCTTGGGGACAATGGGAATATAACTCATATGGCTACGTAAGTGCTTGTGGAGGCACCTGTCCAGATTGCCTCTACCCGTGGAAATGCCACTCAGACAGTGCAAAGGCCACCAGGCTGTTAACTACCTCTGCTCCCAGCCTTCTGGGTGAAAAACAGGCTATACATCTTTCCCTTTGAAGAGACAACCCTCTATGTTTAACATTCCTGGATCCACAGCGCTTATCTGTGTGCACAGGCACCTCTGTGCCTCCTACATTTCTAGACTTTCTTTTTACATGCTATTTTGTATTTGCATCATAAGGATTATTTTCTGTCTTAGTCCACAGATATTGGTTGACTTCTGTGTTTTCCTTATCCAAGCAGAGGCAGCATGGCATTGTGGTTCAGGCTATAGACTTTGAAACCAGTCTTCTAGGTTCAAAACTGACCCTTAAGTACTCAGTATTTTTGTGGTCTTTAAGGAGTGGGTTACCCTCTTTGTGAGTCAAGTTTTCCAGCTATAAAATGAGAGCTCTTCACTCACTGTGGTGATGATCAAATAGAATAGTTTAAGAAAGTGTTTAGAACATCACCCCCTATATGCTAGCAAATGAATGTTATTGGTTAACTATGGTATTTTTAATGCTGTCACGTTGCTTCTGTCGAGATAGATTATTGCAATAGTTTACCAGCAAATTTATATTTCTTTGGTCTTATCCTTGTATAATTGAAGAAGCATTGTTTTTTTCTGGGTTCTTCAATGAGTTGCTAACTTTTCCAATGCTATATTTTTCTATGTTCTTCCAAGATCTTCATTGTCTTCCTGCCTACACTTTTTGAGTTCTCTTGAACCCTTAACAGAAGAAAGGCATGTCTCTCAGCATCCTACAGATACTTAGAGCTTCAGTTCTTCATTTCCCTTAGCTGGACATTTATTTGCTTTTGATGTTTTTCTACTTATTTGTCCTTCAAATTTTCAGGTACTTTGTTGAGTGTGGTATGCAGTTTATAACATTTAGAGACATAGCTCAATATTAAATAGCATCTGTGTTAGTCTTTTTGTGTGTGTGTTGGTATGGCAAAATGTTCAATGTAAGTATTTTGTAAGAAAAGACATTTCTTTAGACACTTCTGGAAAATAAAGAGCTTTGTGTCACATCTTAAGATCTCCCTTGTCTACATGACAATGTGGCAGAGAAACAGAAAAGGAAGTGGTCATCTGCAGAAGGGATCAAGTATATAGGATAGTTTCATGTTATAGCAGCCCAATACTGCAAGAATGAATTCACTCCTCAAAACACCCTTCCAAAAGAATTGTCCCCTGATCGAATACATATCATTAGTCCCTGCTTCTTATAGGCTCTACCAATCAACGCTGCTACACTAGTTATCAAGTTAGCACATGAGCCTTGGGGCCATGCTCAACCTGTATCCAAATGATAACACTTAGAAGCCTGGAATGATTTAAAGCTATTTTTAGCAATGAAACTTTCTCCCTGAACTCTATCAGTACATCAGGATTTTGACACAGCTACCCTGACACATTGGGAACCAGTCTGAGCAAATGAAACTGTGACCTGCTCTGCACAGATTGCTGGTTTTCTTTTTTTAAAAAAATGTGATTCTGTTTTATTCTTTGTATTTTTTTTGTTTGGGGATGATAGTAAACAAATCAGAGATTACCATGTGTTTTCTAACTACTAAACTTTATAATAATTTGAATTAGCAGAGCCATACAACATTAAATACTAGCTTCTAGAATTTGTGTCTTATTTTGAAACAGTGACAACCAGTGTGTGTGTGTGTGTGTGTGTGTGTGTGTGTGTGTGTGTGTTATGTAAGAGGAAAGATTCGGAAAGATTAGTTTTTAGTTGCAATTGGGGAAAAAGAGCATGGGAAAAGATTATAGCAAGAAGGGAAGGTAAAGATGGTCTTTTTTCAGGTCTGCAGGAAAAGGCTCTGTGGTACAATGAGTGACCCCCTAGAAATTTTTGTTATGGTGTCATCCATGTGTCCTGCAGACACTTTTTTTCTATCATTCCTCAAGCCACCACTGCTTGGATTTGTTCCACTATTATTCTCTATTTCCCACCTTCCTGACTAATGCAGTGTTGACTGGCTTCTCACCCTTCCCTTTTTGAAGCATCTGTTATCAGTCAGCCATTCTCTTTCATGTCCTTCCAATAGTACAAGACCCTGCAAATTTTGCAGTGTGTGTTTCCTGCATCTTTGTTTCATTACTTCCCTAGTATAGATGTTATTTTTCTTTCTTTATGTAACTTGTTCCTTTCAGAGTGGGAACCAATACCAGAAAGCAGGAAGCTAACTCCAGAGAAGCATTTTCCTGAAGAGGAGCCATCCCCTGGAGTGGTGCTGGAGAGCTTTCCAGAGGAAAGGTCCCAAGACTGGGAAGACTTTCTGGAGAACCAACAGGAAAACCATGAGAAACACCCCATACAAGAGCTGGTCTGTCAGAAGAGACTTTCTCTGGAGAGAAGCTACCAGTGTGATGAATTTAGAAGAAATTTTAGTCAGTGCTCATTACTTGTTCAACACCAAGGAGACAGACTTCATAATTGTGGTTCACTTAAGAACTTTAAAAATTCAGATGTGATTAAACAAGGGAAATCTTGTGCAGGAAAGAAACCTTGGAAATGTAATGAGTGTGAGGAAAGCCTTCAGTTACTACTCAGATTTTGTCTTGCTTCAGATAATTCACACAGGAGAAAAGCCCTATGAATGTAACGAATGTGGTAAAGCATTCAGCCAGAGCATCCACCTTACCCTACACCAGAGAATCCATACTGGAGAGAAGCCCTGTAAGTGTCAGGAATGTGGGCTGGCCTTCAGTCACCGCTCAGCCCTTATTCAGCATCACATAAGTCACACGGGAGAGAAACCCTATGAATGCAATGATTGTGGGAAGGCCTTTAATCAGAGCTCATACCTCACTCAACATCAGCGGATTCATACTGGAGAGAAACTGTATGAGTTGTAAAGAATGTGGGAAGGCCTTCAGCCAAAGCACATTCCTTACCCAGCATCAGGGCGTTCACACTGGAGAGAAACCTTACAAGTGTAACGAATGTGGCAGAGCTTTTAGTGATCGTTCAGGCCTTATTCAGCACCAGAGAACTCATACTGGAGAGAGGCCATATGAGTGTAATGTGTGTGGGAAAGCCTTTGGCTACTGTTCAGCCCTGACTCAGCATCAAGGAACTCATACTGGGAAGAAGCCGTATAAATGCAGTGTGTGTGCCAAAGCCTTCAATGATCGCTCAGCCCTTATTGGTTATCAGAGGACACACACTCTGGAGAGAAGCCTTGCAAATATAAGGACTGTGGAAAAGCTTTCAGCCAGAGCTCATCTCTTACAAAACACCAGAAAACTCACACTGGAGAAAAACCCTATAAATGTAAAGAATGTGGAAAAGCTTTTAGCCAGAGCTCCTCTCTTTCTCAACGTCAGAAAACTCATGCTGGAGGGAGAAGCATATGGACAAGCCTTTAGTGAGCATTCACTCTTTGTCCAACAAAAGAGAATCCATACTGGATTCTTGTATTACATTCAAAGTATATTTTGTTTTGAGCATTTACCATATGTTATGAGGGCTACAAAGAAAATTTAAGTTGATTATTTTTAAAAGTTATTGAGTCATCTTCTGATGTGGGGCATAACTCACTTAGGCTATGAAAGGAGGTTTTACATTTTTAAGTTATTCTTTTATTTATTTATTTATTTATTTATTTATTTGTATTTGATGTGCATTGTCATTTTACCTGCATGTGTGTCTGTATGAGAATGCCAGGTCCCCTGGAACAGGAGTTACAGACAGTTGTAAGCTTCCATGTTGGTGCTGGGGATTGAACTCTGTCCTCTGGAAGAGCAGCCAGTGCTCTTAACTGCTGAGCCATCTCTCCAGCCCTGAGGTTTGAAACTTTTAAAATAATTCCTGAATGGAAGGCACCAAAAGGAAATTCTCTTCAAACATCCTAATGTGTGTGCACATTGCCAAGTCCTTGCGAGTAGGGTATGCACATTGGAAAGAAGACGTCTTACTTATGCTAGATAGTCTCTGGATGCTGCGGAGATGGGTTCTAAGGAAATAAGTGGTCATTGTGGGAATAAAAATAAAAGATTGAGGGCTCATAATGAGTTTGCCTAGGGTCCTGAATGGTCAAACACTTGTCCTTCAGCCTGAAGAACAAGAACACAAAGGAGGTAGATGGAAAGATAGGGGAAGAGTTGAGGGGCGTTGGCTGCAGTAACTTAGTGTTGATACCCAGAAAAAATATATACTAGACTTGACAGCTGATGTGCTGCAGAGCTCATGTGAAGGCAGCTTTCTCCTAAAGCTGGGGGAGATTGGCGTGGGGGCCTCTTCTGTACTTTTTGTCTTTATATCTTGATTATTAAGATATATGCTGGGAATCACCTTTATCCCAAAGATGAAGACTTACAGCTTAGTTTACAAAAGAGACCTTTGATATATTCAGTGGGTTCTAAACTATCTGAGTTCCCTAAGAATATTTATTTATAAAGATTGACCTCAATTGTAAGTAGTTTGTACCTTGTTTTCTTTTTTTATACCATAGAAAACTTAATTGTACATTTACACTGACATTGCATTGATTGTGAGAACCTTGGAAAGGCTGATGTGCTTGCCTTTCTCCATTATACTCTTGGAACAGTGGCAGGTGACTTTGTACACATACATTTTTAACTGAAATTTTGAAGGTTAGTATTAGAAACATTTGAATGTGATAATTTTATCTTCAGGTTTCACTGTGCAGTGTCTTGGTGTGAATTTCTTTGAGTGGATTTCTCTCTTGTGTTTGTTGACCTGCTCCGATCCATAGGTATAGAAACTTTGTCAAATCTGGGGAGTTTTCAGTCCAGTGCTATTTCTTCAAAATAACATTTTTTAGCCCACAGCCCTACCTGGTCTCCATGTCTGGATTTGGATAGCAGGACACTTAGCTTGTGGTATTACAAGTTTTTGAGACTCTGTTCATTTTTTTAAGTCCATTTTTATTACTCTTCTTGGTCTGTTGAAACAAAATCTCATGGATTAGGGGGCCCAAGAAAGCTGTCTCCCAGAATTCTGGAGTTTGAGGGGTCTAAGATTAGGATACCATCTAACTCCATTTCCTGCCAGACTTCTCCTAACTCACAGACATCTGCCTTTCCTTTTCTGTTTTCTACGGATCTTTAAAGTCCTATTTCCAAACACAGTTTACACTAGGCACTAGGCCTTCAGTACACATTTTTAAGGAGACACAATGTATCCCTTGTCATGCTTCTCCTGTCCCTTTCCACCAAATTCATGCCCATGCATGAAATGCATTCATTCCATCCCAGTAGCTGCCAAAGTCTGAAATTCCAGCCCCAGCTATAAGGTCTCAAGTCCCAAGTTTAGTCTACCACCTGGATCAGATATGACTGAGATGTTTGATTATCCATCCTAAGCTATGCGCCTGTGAAACTGAGTAAGTTACGTGCTTCTAAAATGCTATGGAAGGACAGGCATAGAATAGACATCACTACACCAAAGGATAGAAATGCAAATGAAGGAATGGGTGATGGATACCAAGCAATTTCAAAACCTGGCAAATTCCACTAGATTGTAAGACATAAGAATAATCTGTTTTGGCTTGATTCACAGCCAATGAGCCTGTTAGTGTGACACTCCTTCCTCCATGGTCTTCCAGATAGCCTCATTGCCAGGGCTCTGCAGGGCAGTCTGAGCTGTCAGGTTTATATTGAAGGCCACCTTTCCTGTTGAAAGCAAGGATGAACTAGTTGAATTCACCTATGAGCTATGCCCATCATTTTATTAGCCTTTGAGCTGTACCCACCTGTAGGGAGAGACCCAGGATACCTGTACCATTCACCCTGCCCATGTGGGCATGGTCACAGATACATCGAGGGGTAGGATAAAGAGAGAGGACAGGAGGCACTCTCTTTCTCTCTCAGGGTTCAGCCAGCTCTTGGAAGCATCTGGGATCCTGGCGGCTCGGAGTGCCCATGTGAGTTGTTTTCATTGTCATCATTTGTAATATACCATCAATAACCATATCTAATAGTTTGTGTTCATGATCACCCACCATGTTATCAAATGACTGTTCAGACACAGCATTGGTGCTTTCTTCCTAACAAACTTCCTCGGGTTTTCCCGCGTGAGTAGAATTTTCCCACATCTGTAGACTCTCGTTCCTTCACAATTAACATTCCATACATTACTTCATCTGTCCCGTCTCACATCTTCACTATAAGCAGAAAGCCTCCACCCTTCACTTTTAGTACTTTATTGACATTTGCTGCCCTATAGCCAGTTTCATCACTCTAACGGTCTTCTTCCACAAAACACTAGCATACTCATTAGACAAGTCTGACATCACCAAAATGCCATCTCTAGTTCCAGAGGCATGTTCCTCATCCATCTAAACCTCACCAGAATAGCCTTACATCCTGTGCACCCTCAGAACTCCTCTGGCCTCTCCCCACTACCCAGTTGCAAAGGTGCTTTGGCATGGTTAATGTGTGCTGCAGCAGCATCCCATGTTTTGGGACAAGCTCGCCTTTCCCAAACTTACTGGCGTCAGATAGAAAAGTCTAGCCCTCAGATAGAGAAGACATTTTCTTGAGGCCTTGCTGCTATGATGGCATTCTTTTCATTACCCTAGACATAGTCCTGGGAACTGGACTCCTGGGCTGTGGTAGAAATCCATGAGTGTCGTGACTTCCAGTATTAGAGAGGGGCAAGATGGCTTCATTGCCACGGGGCAAATCCTGACTCTACCCCTTCACTGATGCCAGTAAGTCTGGGAAAGGCTAGCTTGTCTCTGGGTAGTTTGGGGAACCTCAACCCTTTATATATCCTCTGCTAACATTGGTGACGAGGGGCCTGGGATAGGGTTTCAGAATCTGGCCCCTTGATCTCTGACACCACCACAGGGTTGGGTAGAGACTATTAGTTCAGGATCCCCGAATATCCCTTGCTGGTAGGGGAAGGGCTGTGTGATTTCTTGTGCTAGAACTGAGCAATATTGTCTGAAAGTTTTTTACCCTGCTGCTCTGCTTCCCTTCCTGACCCGTTTGCTAGAAAGAATAGGTCGGCTTTTCTTGGGCCTTTAAAACTCTACCTCCTCCTCTCCTCTCTTCCTCTCCTGTTCTCTCCCTCCCAGCTCTGCAAATTTGGCTTGCCAGCTTCTCCAAGAGCAGTTTGTGATACAAGGCTAAAAGTAATTTTAAGAAATTCTGCTGTGGGGTCCCTCCGGTTTCTAGGTCTTTGTCCATTTCAACTCTCTCTACCTGTTAGAACCTTCTTGCATTCATCGTATTCAGGTTTTCAGCTGTGCTTGGACTGATAGGGAAAACAGCTACTCCATCTTACCCTTGCCATTCTTGCACTGCGACTGACAGACACAGCATGTGGTGTTCTGCGCAGCACAGCCTGCAGGTCTGTGACATACAGCCAGTACAGAATAGCCAGTTAGAATGGAATGCTCACTGGCTCTGCAGAGAGGCTCCTGTGTGTAAGCAACACACTGATTCCTCTACATTTGAAGGGACTATATTTTTTTTTCAGCTGAAACAGCAGTGTTTAATTTATGCATTGCAAACTTAAGAAGGAAAGATAGCCATAACTATGACTATGAACTGTGTTGTTAATGTTTTCATTTGTATCTTAACTCCCAGGATGGGTAAGAACCATTAACAAATAGAATTTACATTTTTTAGCTATTGGTTCATTTAAATTTGATATATGACATTATAAAGAACAAATAAAATTGAAATGATACTTGATATTTGAGACAAGTCACTTTATGCTTGAAATGTTTCTTTATATATGCATTTTCTATTTTTCTTTCTTTTCTTTTCTTTTTTTTTCTGTTTTTTCGAGACAGTCTTTGGAGGCTGTCTTGGAACTAGCTCTTGTAGACCAGGCTGGTCTCGAACTCAGAGATCCGCCTGCCTCTGCCTCCCGAGTGCTGGGATTAAAGGCATGTGCCACCACCGCCCGGCCTATATATGCATTTTCAAAATGTCATACCTATTTGAGAGCTTCTAGAACTAGGTAGAGAGTAGGTACAAAAGTGGTTTATAAACTGTTAGGTGCTATATAATTATTAGTTATTATTGGTATAGTTATTTATATGACCTGTCCATCCTTTATTCTTTGTGATGTACAGATCAATAAAAATGACTATCAATGTAGTGGTGGTGGTCTTTGTATTTTCCTTTTTGTTTATTTTGGGTTTCGGTTTTGGGTTTTTTTGTTTTGTTTTGTTTTGGTTTGGTTTGGTTTGGTTTTTCGAGACAGGGTTTCTCTGTGTAGCTTTGTAGACCAGACTGGCGATCCTCCTGCCTCTGCCTCCCAAGTGTTGGGATTAAAGGCGTGTGCCACCACCCAGCTTCTTTGTATTTTCTTTTTAAACTAAGTTTTCTTGAGCAGTAGCATATATATATATATATATATATATATATATATTATATATTATACATATATATCTTTTGTAATAAGCATATTTTTAAAGCATTCCACTTTTATGTGGTTGCATGTGTGTCTGTGTGAGGTTATACACACATACCTGTGGATGCCCAAAGAGGTCAAACACATCAGGTCTCCTGAACCTGGAGTTA